AAGGCAAGGTTGTTTTTGCTTGTTTGTCTTGTTTGTTTGAGGGGGGTTTTCGTTTTCAACCTGACTAATTGCTAAGGCAAGGTTGTTTTTGCTTGTTTGTCTTGTTTGTTTGTGGGGGGTTTTCGTTTTCTACCTGACTAATTGCCAAGGCAAAGTTGTTTTCCTTGTTTTTCTTTTGTTTGAGGGGGGTTTTCGTTTTCAACCTGACTAATTGCTAAGGCAAGGTTGTTTTTGCTTGTTTGTCTTGTTTGTTTGAGGGGGGTTTTCGTTTTCTACCTGACTAATTGCCAAGGCAAAGTTGTTTTCCTTGTTTTTCTTTTGTTTGAGGTGGGGGGTTTTCGTTTTCAACCTGACTAATTGCTAAGGCAAGGTTGTTTTTGCTTGTTTGTCTTGTTTGTTTGAGGGGGGTTTTCGTTTTCTACCTGACTATTTGCCAAGGCAAAGTTGTTTTTCGTTTTTTTCTTTTGTTTGAGGGGGGTTTTCGTTTTCAACCTGACTAATTGCTAAGGCAAGGTTGTTTTTCTGGTTTGTCTTGTTTGTTTGAGGGGGCTTTTCAGTTTCGACCTGACCGATTGCCAAGGCAAGGTTGTTTTTCGTTTTTTTCTTTTGTTTGAGGGGGGTTTTCGTTTTCAACCTGACTAATTGCTAAGGCAAGGTTGTTTTTCTGGTTTGTCTTGTTTGTTTGAGGGGGCTTTTCAGTTTCGACCTGACCGATTGCCAAGGCAAGGTTGTTTTTCGTTTTTTTCTTTTGTTTGAGGGGGGTTTTCGTTTTCAACCTGACTAATTGCTAAGGCAAGGTTGTTTTTCTGGTTTGTCTTGTTTGTTTGAGGGGGCTTTTCAGTTTCGACCTGACCGATTGCCAAGGCAAGGTTGTTTTTCGTTTTTTTCTTTTGTTTGAGGGGGGTTTTCGTTTTCAACCTGACTAATTGCTAAGGCAAGGTTGTTTTTCTGGTTTGTCTTGTTTGTTTGAGGGGGCTTTTCAGTTTCGACCTGACCGATTGCCAAGGCAAGGTTGTTTTTGTGTTTGTCTTGTTTGTTTGAGGGGGGTGTTCGTTTTCAACCTGACTAGTTGCCAAGGCAAGGTTGTTGTTTTTTTTCTGGTTAATCTTGTTTGTTTGAGGGGGGTTGTGGTTTTCAACCTGAAAGCAAAGTTGCTTTTTTCCCCTGGCCATTGAGTTAAGAACCCGGAGAAGCGAGATGAGGGAAGGGAAGCATAAGAAAAATATTCATGTGCCTTCCCTCTATCATGTTCTCCTTTCCCCAGCTCTTAGTCTGTGAGCTGGGTTAGGGAAAGGATACGAGTGAATGGGTCCCCTCTCTTCCCACTCTCGCTCACCACCTACCTGCTTCCGGATGAACCGCGATACAACGAAGAAAGGGAAAAGAGACAACATATGAAAAGACTTGGATGGAGATGGGACACATCTTTCTATCTCTTGTCCCATCACCTATCCACCTCCTGTCTAGTGCCTTTCCTGTTTGTTGCCTTTGTCACCCTCAGAAACTCGCCGGTGAGCGGAACAATAATAAAGAGCAAATATTGATTAAAAAAACAAACATGTCTATCTTAGAGACTCAGGAGCTAGCACATGAGATACAATCATAGTTCTTTTGCTTGCTTTCTTATCTGGGTTCTACATCTCTTTCTCTGGGTTATGCGCAATGGAACTCCCAAAGGTATGTTGCATGTGGCTTCCCCTTTTTTTCCAGCCCTGACATATGTGCGTTCCCGCAAAAAGCAAGGCACAGCCATTTTGCTGGTTAACTCATGAATCAAGTGCCCCTTAGTTGGTTGGGATTTGAACCCTGCTGCCAAACCACCAATTCACCAATTTGGGGGGGTAAGGAATGCTCACCATAGATCAGAATCAAAACCCTGACATCTTGAATTGGCGGGTAAAAGCTGAGGTAGATGTGGTTGGCTCTGATTGAGCTGTCCAAAGCGCATCGGCCGAATCTAACCTTTTGGTCGTCGAGTTTTGGCCTACTTTCAATAATTGGTTCAAAGGATTGTAGCTACTGCACCAAGCAGAAGTGAAGTGAAGCCGCCAACATCATAATAGTGACTAAAATGAAAGCTTACAAGTTGGCCTGTTCAAACTCGTCCTCAATATTTTTGTCAGATGGTAGTGATTTCACTTGTGGTGTGCCCAGGGGTGGATTGCGGTATATTGCGGTTGACAGTTTCACATTTGGAACTTTTGGGCAAGTCAGTTTGGGACGCGCCTGTCAAATGCTTCTAGGAAAAAACAGAGGGACACGCCAAGTCTCACAATGCATGATCCATGGTAAGACTTCCTGCCAGCAAGTTGCTTTGGAAGGTATCACAAGTCGGCTTGTGCTACCGTACTATTCTTTTTGATTTAGGATACTTACCCGCTCGGATATATACAGATACTGTGATTGGCGGAGGGTGAGGAAGGGTGGGGGGGGGGAGGGGGGGACGACAAGACGCGCCCCTGCTTCAATCGTCAAGATTCTTATTTTCGGAATGTCACTGTGCATATTCAGGGATGAGAGGTGCGTGTGGGACTGAGTTCGCCTTTTGGCTTCAAGGGCTAGGTGTTTTTCGCGCTTTGAGTGCTAGTTCCGCTCCTGTTGCTGTTTCACCCCTGGCCAGCTTGCCCCCAGAGGGTCTGAAAAGCAAAAAGGCAAAACAGGACTTCTGAAATCACTGAAACCCTCGCAAAGGGAAATTCGGGGTTTCACTGGTCATCAAAAAAAAGAGAGCAAACAAGTGCTTTCCCCAAATTGGAGGTGCTTGGCCTGCCGCTTCCCCCCACAACCCCCACAACCCCCCCGGTTGCCCGGGTCGATCACCCGCAACTCGTCGCTCGTATGGCCAGGTTCCAGGAGGGCGGGGACACCACCAAGGAGTGGTACTGGCAGGACGTCGCCTGGTGGGCTGAAGCCTTAGTCAGAGCCGGGGTCCTTTTTGGTGGTTTTAAACGTCACCTTTCTTGCCCAGAAAAGGTCTTGACTGCTAACCCTGGATCTTTAGACTTCAACTTTTTTGGAAATAAAGCTGGTTTCCACGAAACCCCCAAAAAGTTAAACTTTTTGCACGGGGGTCAAGAGCAACCAAGAGGTGAGCTTCCCTGGTGATGTTTTGAGGGGACATAAAGAGCCCTGTGTCAGAGCCGTGCGCTGGCTTGCTCGGGGGGATTTGGGTGCCATCCTGAGATGTGGATGGACAAACGAGTTTCGTTTCGCAGCACCTGGCTGTGGGTCAAAACCAATGAGATCCCATTTTGGGGTAGGTGAATTCGGGTTTTCGGTGCACCACCTATTTTAACCTATTTTAGTGGGGATTGGAATGTTCACTGGGGGTATGGGCTTTTGACTCAGGGCCACCTAAGAAACAAACCATGTTTTCTGGGCCTGCGGCCTCTAGCCGGCTACGCCTCTTTGAAGTTATACCATGTCATGTATGTTTTTTGTATGAGAAACGTATGCTGTGCTGATATGGCGGGCCGGCTTGCGCCCAAGTCACGTCGAGTTGGCCGGGGAGCTAGAAACAAGGCCGTCCTCCGAAACTGCCCCTGGGACGGGTGCCCTCGACCGGTCGCAGGCAGGCAGGTCTGGATCGGTTTGAATCGACATAGTGGAGGAAACAGGTGTCTGGAGCGGTTTGAGGTGGGATCCGACACCCTGGGACCGGTCCCGGGACCGGTCAATGTTCAGGTGTATAATGTAAGGATCCCTGGTAAGGAACCCTGCTCTTTTGTGCGGTGCCATGTTGCCGCGGGCGACTGCATGAGAGCTTCTGCGAATTCAGCCAAAGGGTTCTACAGTTGCAACCTGTTGTGTCCGGAGAGCTCTGCTGATTCTTTGGCAGGTCAGCAAGCGTAAACATCCCCAACCACTACTGTGCGAATGAAACGTGTCAACAACAGCAAGCTGGTTTGTTATCCTGATGCGCAAATATTGATTTGCATGAGTTTGCAGCACGACAACAGCCAGACCCAGGTGACTTTTGACCACGCTTATGTGCGGAACAGTCACTGAAGATGGGCAGCGACACCGTCCTTCCTTTGATGTGTATGGCCCTCGCGACAAACCCGAGTTCAAGATTACCGTATTGGCATGTCATTCTTTGGTGTGGCAGCTTGACACTACTGTGGCAAACACTGGGGTTGTTCAGTCGGGGGACCGACCCAAAACGTTTGGGACTACCTGTTTTTGAGGGTACCTGTTTTTGTGTTTAAAAGGAAAACCAAGCTGAAAACCGAAATCCATGCTGGAGTCCCCTAAAAAAGAGAGACCCCCAGATGAGTCACCTAAACGTGCAGCAGAGCTGCTTGACATATGCCAATTAATTATTCTCGGGTGCGGCTGTTGTCAGGATATTGAAAGAGTGCCAAGTCTCAGAAAGTGACTAGGGAGCAGGTCTGCGGAATCCACGAAAAAGCAAACAAACGCGCAGACCCATACTGTACAGACAAGTTTTCGAAATGAGGTGTCGGTCTTCTCATGTCTTGGCTGAGGTGAAAAACCAGCTGCTGGGAAACAAGAGCCCCTTTGAGGACTCCAACCGACGCGTGGGTTTCTGTTTGGCACAGACCCAAGTGTTTTTGATGGGGGTAGGGTGTTTTTAGCGCCTGTGTCGGTGTTTCTGTGGTGAGGAGTGCTTTTGGGATGGTTTGGGTGTTTTGCGGGTCTGCCGTGGTGGTGGCGGAAGACGATGTCTTTACAAGGCCTCGCCTTGGAAGGCGCGTCCTTCTGGTTTGGAAGGGAAACACAAATTCCAAACTTGCGGGAGACAGTGTGGCGGGTAGCCAAGCAGTTTTTGCCTCCAGTTTGGCCAAGTGACTCAAGCGACTTTGCTCAGGCGGTCTTTCTGAGCATGGGCTTTTGCCACTTGCCACTTGCCACTTCACGGCTTTTGCGTTGGGAAGCCAAGGAGTTTCCTGGTAGGGTGGGGCTACCCATTGGTTTAAACATGTTTAAACCATTGGTTATGATGATGATTTCCTGTGAAGGTGGTGTTCAAACCATATTTTGTCCCACCCTGTTTCCTGGACTGACGGAATTGCACCGGGAAAAACCCCGCTTAGCTGTGCGACCGGGCCCCGCTTGTGAGGACGGGGTGCCGATCCCCGACTCCGGATCCAATGACACTGATCAGCTGAACCCAGGCCGGAGCTGAGGGAAATCCCAGGGGTCTCTCAGTCCAAAGCGAATCGACCTAAATGGACCTTTGGGTTTTCAAACATTTTGGCAACCATTCTTAGAGGTGCCAAAAGGTGATCACCTTTTAGTTCTGGGTCCTTTGGGCAACTGAGTCTATGGTCTCCTTTGCATTGGTTTCTGGCTATGGTGGGTAGACTGCAGTTATTGGGAGACTCAAGTTATACTTGGTCATTTCCTTGAAACTGTAGACTGTATTGTTTGTTTTGGGGCAGACTTGGGAGTATGTGGGTGCATGTGCTCCCTTGGCCCCAGTCCGGAGTCCCAAGTCGTTGCGCCCAGTATGTATGTAATAGAATCCGAGAGTTTTGTTTGCGTAATAATTTGGCGTGAAGGGCCCCTTTGGGTCTAAATTGAGCCCTTATCTTCTGCCTCTTAGGATGTGCATTTTCCAGACCATTTCAGCACTCAGCGGACGTGGCACATTTTTGTGCTCGTCTTTTCTTGAGTGGTTTTGACAAATACAACAAGGCAACCAGCTGGAAGTCCCTAATTTTCAGATATAATTTGGCTTGTGGCTATCCGAACTTGTTGCGCCCCATTAAAATTATCAAACAAATATTAATCCAGGAACTCAGGGAGTCGCTTTACCCCCTACAGATGATTTCAGACGCATGCCGGGCGCATTGTCTACATACATCTCTTGCATTGGCCCTGGCTGGGACGCTCCACTGGCAATTGCAGAAACGTCATAAATCCACCTTTTGCCATCACCAAAAGTAACTCAAAAGCTGTTCAAAGCTGTGCATTTTTGGTCTGCGAGCCGCCGCGAGGTGAGTACGTGGCATACACCAGGCGCCAAGTCTGCTACATCGCAGCCAAGAGCCTGTTGGGCGCAGGCACTTCAGGCGCGCACCTATTCAAGAATTGTCGCGTGTGGCTTTCACGGTTTGGAGTTCCCAAAAAGTACCAGCAAGCGAAAGTGGGTTCCGTTTGGAAGGATGGTTCAACGGGACATGTGAGATTACTTGTTGGTATCCTTTTCCGGTTTACAAAGCAACCCTAGCTGGCGGTCTGCATTACCTTGGTTCTTCTAGAGGGTGGTTAATGGGAAGCCACCGAACCTTTAAACCCCCAGTCCAAGCCAAAAGCCGGTCAGGGCTTTCACGGAAATTGGGCCACCCTTTTTTTGGAAATACATACCAATTACCAGACTACCAGGCTTTCCTTCATGGTTCTTGGCATCTTGCGGGTTGGTTGGCTGGTTTGGTTGGTTGGCCGGTTGGCTGGCTGACTGCTCGCTGAATTTTCTGTATGTTTAGTGACTGCCCAAGAAGCACGTTTTTGCTTATACGCTGCGATGGTGGAAAGCTTACTGCGATGGTGGAAAGCTCACTTCACTATACCAGTCAACCAACAAATGGTGTTCACGTTGTACCCTTGGTTTAAAGATTCCATGTGCCGGGATCGTGTGTTCCAAAAGGTCACCTACGGATACAAGGGTACTTCTTCTAATGATCATCGGAGTGCGCCATGCTGACTTGGAATAGTCGCAGAACTCTGCGGTTTGAATTTCGAGCTTCAAAGAGAGACCGTGCTGTGGATGGATGAACTCCACCTAAGAAACCCTGGAATGGTCCGATTCGCCTGTAAATACCAACATACACCAACAAACCAGGGTTTCCCATGGTTCTTAGGTGTTTCGAAATGTCTTTCGCAACCATCCACACTATGGGACACCTTGTCAAAGCCTTTCCCCTGGTTTTTGGCATGCGACTTGGATCGCAAGCCCTAGGGCGCTCCGAAGGGCGGGGTCTTGGCAGTGCTCACAGGTGGCAAGCTCACCACAGTTGAGCAGGGTTAGTCCCTTGCAAAAACACATCCCCTGATGTTAGTCTTGCAGGCAGCCAGAATTGCGAGTGGGGAGACTTCCTCCTATCAACGTTTCGTCGTAATTGCGCTTGATTGAATTCGGTTCGTTTTTGGCGCACAGGCTACAAGAACGGCCTCAAGAGATACTTGCATGAACGTGGTGCGGCGCTCAGACATCCAGTGGCGCTATTCGAGTCCGCAAATTTGAAGGCGGCTTCGAGGGATCAACCGAGCTCACGATGAAGGTTCCTTATTGGTTCAGATTCCGCGGCGAGTTTTGCGGACACCTACCCCAACCCCGATGCCCCCCTTGAGGCCTAAAAGGGCTTGTGGGCGGGGGGGAGGGGGGTGCCTTGGGTGATGTTCCGTGATCCACTGCCATGGGTGTTTATCACAAACTAGGGAGGTGCTTGGTTTCCCTGAGTTTCCCCTTGCCATGGTTGTTGGGAACCATTTTACATTTTGCTTATTGTGGTTTAGTGGTTGAAATCCCCACTTACCTGCTAACATGTAGAAAAATGTTGCTCCCATTCAAACGTCAACCAAGTATCCATTCGTAGCACGGGGACGCGAATTCTGAGAAACACCCCGACAGTGGAGCCGTAGGTGATGTAGGCTGTAGTCACAATTTCCAGGGAAACCCAAAAGGAAAGCCGTACCATTTTGGGGAGTTCCCCCACACGACGCATCCAGCTGTATTTTTGCAGGGGATTGCTAGTGACACAGCTGTTCCGGACTGCCTTTTGGTGGTTCAGGATAAGTTGATCTCGTTGGTCTACCTGACGTGCTAAATCACAACCATTTTGTGAACTCAGAATTCAGCACGTGCCCTTTGCCTTCGCCTCACGAAATCAACATGGATTTCAGACTTGGGCATCAGCACCATGTTTGGCACAAATACCCCTTTGGTTGGCTGATCCCTGATCCCTGGGACCCACTTCCTGTAGAAAAATCACACGGAGCCCAAGAAGTGAATAGAAACTTCTGGGGCCCCTGGGGCTCAGTTTACTTCCATTTGCTGACTGATTTTACAGGGACTCGATTGCACCATTTGCTTTATACTGTGGATGGACGAAATCCTGCACCACCTAAGAATCCCTGGAATGATGATTCCCCTGTAAATCCCAACGAACAATGCTTGCCATAGTTCAAAGTGGTGCGAAATGGATTTCGTCCATCCACAGTATCACATTATAAGCCCAGGGGTTTCTTCTGAAGGTCTGAGGGCCTCGATTTCTCTCCCGAGCTCCAGGGATTTCATATGCCGTTCAGGTCCCGGCGGCTGCATCCCGCAGCAGCAGAACTTCGGCAAGGCCATGTGGGGCCTGTTGGCCACCTGTGCGGCGGACCCGACCCTGGAAGGCCTGGCCTCGGGTCTCGGGTCTCGACATGGCTTTGGCTTTTTGGCGTTTTTAGGTGGGGCGCGCGTGTCTTGTTTTTTTTTTTGGGGGGGGGTCGGGTTGTTCGACATGGGTTCGGTTTTGGCTTTCACGTGGAGCATGCGGGTGGGCTTGTTTTTGTTTTTTTTTCTTTGGGGGGGTCGGGTTGTTCGACATGGTTTGGTTTTCACGTGGGGCGTTTGGGTGGGGGCGGGATATTTTTTGGGTGTGACGGTGCTGGGTTTCGGGGTCAAACGGCCTGATGTTGAGCTCATAGACACAACGTTTATTAATAGGGGGTGTTCATGGATTTTTTGGGGAATCATGCCGAGTTCAGTAGGGGGTGTTCATGCCGAGTTTTCTGCGCTCTCTTTTGGCCGGGTCCTGCGAGCAAGTCTTGCTTGCTTGCTTCTTGCTTACCCTCTTCGAGACTTTCGGGAGCACACAAAGCAGAACACATTCCTGAAGCTGCAACCATCGTTTGTTTGTGTGTGGCCTTCGTTTCTGAACGGCGGTTGTTATTTTCAATCATCGCTTCAGTTTCAACTTCATGGAACTCTTCTCGAAATGCACTTGGTTCCTGCTGGACGAGTCTGTTTCCTCAGCCTCAATGGAGGAAGTCGTGTTGTGTTTGCTTGTCATTTCCAATTTGAACTTATATCGAATTTAATAAAAACCTCACATTTCTTGTCATACTGTGGATGGACGAATTATTCATGACTCCCTTGCAAATACCAACGTGCAATGGTTTCCGATGGTTTCAAAGTGGTGCAGGATTTGGTCCATCAACAGTCCTTCTTTTACAAGTCTTCATCCCCGAGCTGTGGCCTGGCTGCTTCCAACTTGGCTTCGCGGAAGCTTCGCTGCACCATGCCAGGCGGTGCCCAAGGTCCTATGATCCTGGTGGCTTCTTGGCTTTTGGTTGGTTTGCCGTTGGGTTTCGGTTAAGGTCTGCGACTGTTCTCGGGCGCTCGGAAGAGTCCCATCTCACCTGCTTGTGTGGGGTGGCGAGTCCGCCTTGAACTTCAAGCGGGGGATGGCCGATGACGTGCAGCGGAGGCTGCCCTGCGATGGCAGGAGGGAGGGTTTGCGTTGGCCGCGGAGCATTTGCCACATTTCGGTTTGTCTGAAGATAGGGCAACCCTGAGAATCGGTGAGTTACCTTCGGATTCGCCCATAAAAAAGACCAAGCAGGGGTGACCCAGAAAAAGGCACACCCACGTTTGTTGCAGACAAGTTGTGACCTTTTAAGACACCTTGGTTTTAGGTCAAGCTTCTGTTGGCCTTTGCTTGAAAGTCAAAGCTCACAGAAAGGGCAATTGTCCACTACCTTTCAGAGCCGAGGCCAAGAACAAAGAGCTGGAGATCAACTACGACCACCTGAAGAGTGAGAACATTCAACTCACTCAAGCAGGCTTCCGCCGCCCGGCGGATTTTTGTCCAAAAAACTCCCAGGAAGTTTGGTAACTCCCCGTGTTTTTTTTGTTTCCCCATGGAATCCGGCCACCAAAAGGAATTGCCTCGAATTTGGTTTTCGGGTTTACCCAGGTTCATTGGATTTCGGGTCTCTTTTTAGATTCCCTCTTGGGCGGTTCGTCCCACTAAACATGGTAAATGGCCCCTTTCTCCAGAAGGGTCGCCGATGGGCTAAAAGTGAAGCAACATGATAAAACTCTAGATGCTTGCGTGTATTGTACTCCAACTAGGCCTTTGTTATTTCCACTCTATTCCACTGTCCTTTTTTCCAATCCCATAGGTCTTGGGGTTGGGATGTTGGCCTCTTGTGGCACAGAGGTCGAGTGAGTGGGATCAAGCTCAACCCTCTACTCCAAGAACCTTTTATTTTAAAGGTTCTCGAAAATAACCGGGTTCTTCGCAGGAAAACCCGGTTTTATGAAAAGCATACAAACGTACGGGTTTTGTATGGGTTTTGTACGGGTTTTGTATGGCTTTTGTATGGGATTTTAAAAGTAAAACCGGGTTTTCGGTTGAAAAACCATGTTTTCGGTAAACAGGCTCAAAACCAGGTTTTTCGTTTGCATCCTTTATTTTTAAAGGTTCTTGGAGTAGAGGGAAGTGCCGCACAACCCCCAGTTTGAATTTTACTTTGGTGATCAACTTTGTCTTGAAGTGACCCTCTGTGCCATGTTAGTGGATGGGAAGGGAGAGGGATGGGATATGTTGCATTTGCCTCTTCTTCATTCACCCAGTGAAAGACGATGAAAGTCCCGCATCCCAACCTTTGTCCGATGACCCTGGCAAACGAACTTGTACTGGACAGCCCTCAAGTGCTTGAGGTTTTAATGTATCCCTCGAACATTTGGACACAGACCTGCAGTGCTGCGAAGTTGTCTCTATTTTTGCGTGGTGGAGTTGAGTTTCCTTGAAGTCAACCAAGAGATGTGTTGTTTTTCTTCTTCTGTTTTTCCCATGGCTAGAGGTTTGGCTTGCTGCCTTGCCATCCCAAGATGTCCTGACTTGATGCCGGGGCAAGAACAGGGGGTGTACAGTTCGCAACAGAACAAGGACTCACTATTTTGTTTGTGTCCACTAGGGGAAGCAAGTATTTGTTTGCTGTGGCGCTCGTGCGATCAAGTCGGCCCCCTTTGCGCAGGGTCAACGAATTATTTAAATCTTGCGGATTCATGAATGATTCCTCCAAAATGGGACACCCGTTTCTTCCTGGGTTCCCATGATAGGCCCTTTGAGCGAACTGGCCCTGGCACAGCCAACATGACCAGGCGCCAGTAGGCACGTGGCACAGTGACCAACTTACCTTGATGGCTTTTGTGTCTACCCAGCTGCACTTTCTTAGGCTGCACCTCTAGGACTTGTAGCCAACCAACCTTGCCTAACATGCTTGGCTGTGTCGCAAGAAGCCACTGAGCCCTGGGAAAGTGGGCCGTGTGACTTTCACTTGCTCGGGCTTGTTTTAGTTTTTGTTCTCCCTGGAATGTCTTGAGCTAGCATGACAGCTAAGGAAAGTTTGTTGCTTATTCACACCTAAAGCAATGTCAAAGGGTACAGGCAACAAACTACTCGCCTTGGGCCTGGGTAAGGCAGGCAACAAACAGGTACTAGTTTCTTTTTGAGCTAAAAGGCACCAAGAGGGTCATTTCTCCAAGTTGGAACTGTGGCTAAGGCATTTGCCGCTATGATGACGGCTCCATCTACAAGCAGGGCTTCCTTCCGGGAGTGCCCAAGTCTCCCGAGGACGTCTCGCGGCAAAAAAGGAGGCAGCGGAAGGCCTTGAGCTGTGTTTCTCGTTTCGGCTATTGGCTGTGGGTCAAAACCAATGGCACCATTTTGGGGTGGTGCACCACCCATTTTAGTCCATTTTAGTGGGGATTGGGATGGGGGTACGATTTGGATTTTGACCCATGCCCATTTGGCTGGATCTGTGGACGTTTAACTTTTTGGTTGAAACCGTTCGGATTTCTCTTTGGATGGACAAAAGAAAGTTAGCTTTTTGCAGAGGGCCAACAGTTCCGGTTCTTTGTGTTCTCTATGACCTTTACCCTCCTGTCCATGAACATGGAACCCGCCAGAAGGTCCCTTTGAAGGGAAAAGCGTTTTGCAGGACCCCTCAGTCAGGTTCCATGTTCCATAGACAGGAGGGTATTTGTTGTGTTCTCGGGGTTGGCAGGGCCATTGACTAGAGGATTTCTACTTGGCTGGCCAAAGACCAGCGAGAGACCCACGCTTCATTTTGCCTGGGCGTCTTTTCTTTATGGACCTTCAAGGAAAACTAACGTGAGGGACCGCCATTGTAAGGGGCTCGTCCTTGGCTTATTCTAGGATGCCCCCCCCGCCTAGCCCCGTCCCCCACTTGGAGGCCCTCCAAGATCCATGTCTTGTTCCAGTTTTTGAACTGGAAATATTTGGGTCAGTTATGGTCAGTTAGTTCCTCAGAAAGGAAAGTTCCCAAAAGATCGCGCACGTGACCAGATGCTTGCTCAATTCGCGCCTCTTTGTTCCCGCAGCTTCAGTGAAGGTTTCAGGAGCTTCGATGTTCCTCAGGGCTCATCTTGGCATTGCCTATCCCCAGGGTCTTATGATTTCTGGTGTTCCCGTTTTCACCATCGATGCACCAAAGGAGCGCCACCCATTTTCCGGGTTCTGGTAGAAACTCCTAACTCCAGGACCTTTGCTCGCAGCCTCAGTGGTCCGGGCCTGGTGTGGACTTCTTGTCCAGCTCCAGGCACATGCGTCAGGCCGGGCCAAGGCTTAAAAGGGCTTGCAGCAACACGCAACCTCAAAGGAACACACATATTGGAATACCAGGTGCGAGTTGGAGCACTAGGCCGGGTCGAAAGCAACAAGTTCGAATTGATTGAAGCGCTACACGTGGTTTGGTTGAACTGGACATTTCAAGCCCTGACGTAGTTCCGATACTTCAAACGGGAATTCGAACCACCCCACAGAATGTATGTTGTACATGTATATGTGTAATAATTTACATATTGAAACACTGCATGGGAACCTGGAAGAACAAGTCGGAATTGAAGCTTCAACTGAGACTTTGAGGCACGTGGCGTTCGAAGGATGGATTCCCTTCTTTCAGCGGCTGGTTTGAACGACCGGGGGAGGAATGAAAGAATTGTCACGCGACACGAGACCATATGATGTGCGTGGGCACAGGGCTGCCTGCGTAAGGCTCTTGTTATTTCGCTTCGCAACTTGTTGGAATACATGCATATACATGCGTACATACATATGAACACACACACATATATACAGTATACATACATGAGGCCCCATATATATATATATATGTAGATACACGTCTCAATGGTTGAACCCACACGCCCAATCATTTGGACACATCGTTTCTTCGAGAAGCCACCAAGATTCCCCAGGTCTCAAAGACCATTCGCTGACAAGGACCTTCGTACTTTGTATGGAAAGTACAGCTAAACATAGTGTCATTTAATTACTCAAGGTGCAGAGTGGCGAAGCCCTGGTTTTCCGACTTTGCTTGCATGCAACCTACTTGCCAAGTGGACGCCAAACCATGTGGGACATCCAATGGGTGCTCATTCAGTTTCCCAACGTTTCCGGCGATCCTCCTTTTCCATTGCCGACTGAGCACTAGCCCATTTGCCGTGTTGCCCTTTTGGTTTCCTTACGAGATTGAATCTGTCCTGGGCCCGAAGCACCCAGAAGCTGCTTTCCGGCACTCCCATTTCTTGGGTGATAGTTGGTTTGACCTTTGGGGAAATGCGGGCTGTGCTACTATCCCACAAGAAGTTGTCAGCTTTTTGCGCACCTGTGCCCAAAGACCGAGCTGATTCTCAGGGAACGACCCCTACAAACCATGCGTTGCTTCGTTAGGGATCCCAAGGCCCATTCCCATTCCCATTCCCATTCCCATTCCCATCCATCCATCCATCCCAAGACCAAGTAAGGAGACCCGGCAAGTTCTGAGAAATTTGTCCAGGCCGTGGTGGATGCCAGTGGCTCCCATGTGGGCGGCAAGATGTTTGGACACTTGGCGCTTTTCGTTACAACGGGGGGGGGACCCGCTGGAAACGGGAGCCCACGCTTTTCATGGAGTTGGGCATGGTTGGGTATGTGTGGTTGTTTCAGGTCCACGCAAGTTCAGGAAAAACAGAAAACCGCCCTCCCTCTTTCTGAGGAAACGCCTCGCCGCTTTAAACCAGCAAGCCGGTCGACGTGATGGGCTACATGACCCATATAGCTATCATTGCAGCAGCAGCAGCGGCAAGAACAGCAGCAGCAACAATGGAGGGAACGATGCGCACGCTTAAAACGCCGCGGCAGCTACTGTCGCAACAACTCAAAACTGCCAATGTCTATGTTGCATTTTGAGTTGCAGTGCGTTTGACATGTCGAGCACTCCGTTATCCAGGAGGCTGTTTTTGCAAGACTGGCCTCCTTCCAGTGGACGTGTCAGATTGCTTGCGCCAAACCAGGCACAGCACATCAAAGACACATGTGGCCTCCTAAGGCTGAGAAGCCAAGGGAAAACCAATACCCCCTGTGTTGGATAAGAAGTTGGTTTTGGGCCATGGAACACTTCATTGGTTCTTCTTCAAGGCCCCCCATCCGGCAATTCATCGAATGGCTTATTGAAAGAAAAGGCAGTTAAAATGAGGGAGGTGCAGTGCGGACTCGGTTCAGCGGGTGTACTCGGCGTGCTTATTATTTGGCAGGCAGTGTGCGCAGCGCCGCACCAGGCCACTCCAGCGCAGGCGCGTATCACTTGGTAGGCGTTTGCGCAGCGCTGAGAGAACGCATTTGAACACTCAAGCGCTGCGCAAACGCAGGCAAGCGGGTGCGCTTTTCATTTGGCACGAGTGCGCGCGCAGTGCTGCGTGAACACACGCAAGTGGGTGTGCAGATGTTTGGCAGGCGTACTAGTAGTGCTGCAGTGCTGTGCGGACGCACTCGGGCTGGCGTCCTTGTCATGTGGCAGGCGTGCGCTGCGCGGACGCACTTGCGCGGGCGTGCTTCCCATTTGGCAGGCGTGTATGGGCATTGCTCCGCGCAACTCTTCGGAAGGTGCGCTTATATCATTTTGCAGGCGCGCGCGGGTGCCGCGCAGGCTCATGTGGAAGGCGCCCTTTTGCGAAGCGCACTTTAAAGCACTGTGAATTTAACGATGAGATGATGAACCAACCCACCTGCAAAACCCAGTATTCTGACTCACTTAGAGGATTTGTTTACGCGGGAGGCGCAAAGTCGGGCCCCAGTACAATATTGTGAGGAAGTCCGCAGGCATTTTGTTCCGTACATTTGCGCGTGAGCATTTGCGGCGTTTCGGCCGCAAGGGAACAGCCATGCGCTTGTCCTAGGAGGCAGCTGTGGATCCGGAGGCCCTGAAGATCAGCACTTGCTGATGCTACTCGGAGACAGCAACCATCAGCTGCCGTGCGCGGGTGAATTATGGTTGGGTTGGCATTGGGTTTTTGCATGGTGTTCACAAAGCGGCAATATGTGCTTCATGATGTTGGCTCAGCCCTGGAATCGCCGTCCTTGGTCGTGTTTGATGAGGCTTTGTTTTTCTAATGCAGAAGGTAGGGCGACAACACAGAGGATGGTAAAGGCTGCCCCGCATCAGTGTTGGTATTGTTTACCGTGCGCTTGGGGATCAAAGAATTTGGCTTGTCTCATATGTCATGCGGCAAAAGCTTGAAACACATCACAACCACACACGCTGTGCCGAAATTAAGTTGCCTTACAGAAGCGGATGCTGTGTTGTTCAAATGCGTGGTGAAAATGACTGACTTCCCTCAACAGTAAGTTTGGAATGAGGGCATTCTTGTACAAGAAGTCTCCCTCAAGACAGGCTGAAGTATTTAGCGGCTATGTTCATTTAAAGAGTGCTCCCAGCTGTCCGACAAATGATGCGGAGGAGACAGGTGTTTCACATTGTTCTGCAAAGCCTTAAGCTATGCCGGGATGTTGGTACGTTCTTTTTCTAGAACACCCCATACGCACCCAGCCCTGCAGCTGTCCTCAGGGTGAGAGACAATTGTCAGTGGGGAAAGGAGACATTTTATTGAACCCTTTGAATCTTGGAGATGGTTGGGGCCCCATTTCTCCTTCCCTTTACCTTTTCCTCCCTCCTTTTCCCCGCTTAATGGTCCTAAGTGGCCGATGCTCTGAGCTTCTCAAGGCCAAATTCGAGTCTCTTGGTCGCCGGGGTCTTTGGAGCAATGCCACCCTCACCCGGGTCGAATGGCTACAATAACATTTTGAGTGTATATCTCCCCACAGGCCTAAATACCCTCAATGATGTGCAGAGAGTCCCTAAGTTAAAATCGCTCCCTAGCACGGCAGCCGAGGTTCATGCCAGAAGTTGCAGTGCTCAGTTTTTTCCTCTCTCAGTCAGAGGAGGGGCCTTTCCCATGAGACCGGCCCGGGCGAGCAGGTGGGTTACTAACCTGGTTGCTTGGTGGCTCCCAGCCCTTCTTCCGTTCGTTGTGTTCCCCGACAGGGCCCGAAATGGGTTCAACGCTTTTGCTTTCAGCGTCAGCCGGCCCCAGACACTTGGGAAAGCATTGCTTCCGGTTTGTGAATTCTGCCCAGACACGTTTTAGTCGACAACCGCCTATGTGAACTCTTTTTTTTAACTGGAGGGTTCTGGATTCTAAGCAAAACTGAAACACTTCAGCATCTACGGCAAACCACCCCTTACCATATTACTCCGGATGAGTCCCTGCATCAACTTCTTGGAATCGCCAACAAGTTGTGTCTCGTCCCAAAAACTGTCCTTGTTTGCGATAAACATGATGAGAGGATTTACAGTTAGCATGCCGAAAAATACTAACCGCCCTCACTCACCGCTGGGACACCACAACCCAACTCCCTCCTACAACTTCAGCTCCTGCCATGATTGCTGGGAGGTTCTCTGGCGTACTGGAAAAGCGAGTGTGCTCAGACTGCGCTTTTTCACCACGATGGCTAAGTGGTTAGAGCCCTGGTGACCAGCAGGACCCATAATTTAACAGGCGACCCACTTGACCACGTTACTTCTCAGTTGCCCCTTTCCCTTGTGGTGGGTTGCCCCAGGGCTTGATAGAGCATTGCCCATCCTCTCTCCTGCCCCTCCCTATCAGAGAAGGATCCATGCCTCGGAAACAGAGGGCCCTCCTCATCATCTGGTTCATCTCTTTTGCTATCCAATCTAGCCATGGTCATAACCTACTTAGGGGGCCTGGGACCATGGTAAGCATTGTAAGTTGTGAACTAGCGGGCCTTTCCTGCTTTGTTTTGTTGTGGGTCTTTGCAACTTACTCCCCGAGTTCCTGACCTGTCTATACTTGTGGGGAAGACCAATTTAGTGGCAAAAAGTCCTTTTAGTTCTGACTCCATTGGGGAAGACTCCATTTGTTTATACTTTTGGTTCTGACTTTTGCCCAATCCACGAAAGTGAGACCACCAGTTCACTTCAAGCAGGAGCAACCGCAGCTGGCAGCGCCCACCTGGATCTTGGGCGCCCGCATGGTGAATCAAGGCCTCCGCGACTGCTGTGACCGGCACCCCGGAAGGGTAACGGAATCCGCCCCCCCCCCCCCACCCCGTAGGACACTTTGGGGTTTGGGTGGGTGTGGCAGTGTGGCATCCCCGCCCCCTTCAAATGGAATTGGGGGGAGGGAGGTGACCCCTGGAATTCCATTTATGGTTCCATTTCCCCTTTGTGGGGAAGACTAGGTAAATGGAATTGAGGGACCCGCCACCCCTCGCCCTTAAGGTAGGGGGGATGGTGTGGCTCAAATGTTATTTCTTCGGGTTACGCAGGTGTTAGTCTTTGTTTCCATTACCAAGGTAGCATGTTGGGTTCCATGTTTTGAGCCACTTGTTGTTTGGGGTTTTGGGTTCTTAGGGATCAAGTTTGCAGAATCGCCTCGATGGCGCAGACACCCCCCAAAACAGAGCCTCGGGCAGGATCTACGGGGGTCATCAAGCAAAGGCTTCCAAAACGATTTTTCAATTGGCGGTGAAGAGAAACCTGCCCCTCACCGCCAACTGTGCGTTTTCCGTTTTCATGAACTTTTACTAGGGTGATGTGCCATGAGTCTAGAGTCTAGTCGTTGGTTCCCCATGTGTTTCAACCATTGCTCTTTTCGAACACCATACGTGTCCCCTGGTTTTTGGGGTTTTCTGAAAATAATGATCCCTGGACAATGGAGACGTTACCCTGGAACGATGAATTTGGAGGTTTTTCTTACAAGCAGATCTGGCGTGGTGTCCTTTCTGCGAAGTTGGTCCTTGACGCTGGGGACCAAGTACAGGGGTTCTCCAACGGAGGCTTGCGTGCTTGCATTCGCCTTTGACTGACACGTGGTTTTTCTTCTTTGGGCTCTATGCTCGTCTCCTGTTTTGGTTTGGGCTCATGCCAACCATCTTTACCCGCCTTTTGCCCTGGGGATCGCGTCCGGAGATCCCAGTGCGAGCGAGCGATTCCACCAGCGGGACACCTGTGCTTCACCCACAAGTTTGGGGCAACAACCCATGTTTTTACAGGGAACTTGGAGGGTCCAGGTAATCCTTTCTGGGGTTGGATTTCTGCTTGAAACGTTGTTCAATTTAGCGGTGGTGTCCATTGATAAAATTCGCCACTTGCGGAGGTTCCAACAAAAAGGAACGAAAGCAATGGTAGGAAACCCTATCCTTTACGCTGCGTTGCAAACCAAGGAGTTGGGTTTGCAAACCGAGTCCAGGTGGATCCCTTTGGAAACTGACCCCCACCGAACTCGGGAGGCTTGGACGGCACTGGGCGCTGGGCCGGCAACATGCGGCCGGAGCCTGGCCTGCGGATGGCGCCACTCGAAAGGGATCCCTCGGTTCTTTTTTGTTGTGCGTGTTTTGCCTGTTTGTTGTTGTTTTCTTCTTTTTTTTTTCCGGCGAGAGGTAATTGCTGTGGGTGGCGAAATCCATGTCGCAGCACCATTCAGAAAGCCTAGAATGATATTCGATTCCCTTGTACATATCAACCAACGTTATGGTTTCAACCCTGGTTTCAAAGTGGTGCAGGATTTCCCCCATCCACAGTAGGAAATGAGAAATGGAATGAACCCAGGCTTTAGGAAACACCAGTTGGATGTTTTTTTCAGGGTCATTCCTCATTCCCTTCTGAGGACCAGCAAGTTTTGTGCGTTTTTCACGACTTGGCTGCTCTTTTAAGGAAACCGGTTGGGGATTTGAACCCTTGGCGTTTGTGGGGGAAGTGGGAAACCACCCTTACCCACCAAACCACCAATCCACCAGTTGGAGGGAAGCTGTTGAATGGGTGGAGCTTTGGGCGCTCTTTGGGTGTTTCTACAGTGGTTGATTGCGAAATCCACTTCGCACCACTTTGAAGCCATGGTTGAAACCATTGTTGGCATGAAAGGGGGATCATCTCTAGCCTTCAACTTCACTAGTTTTGAGGTTTTTGCTTGTTTGGTGCTGTTCATGTTTTGGTAGGGGGCTGCAAACAACAACATTTTCTGCCACGTACCATACCAAGGGCTTGGACAGTTTACCCGTGTTTCCTACTAGTGGGAACCCCAGATGCAAACCAGGTGGCCGAATACGGGGGCTTGGATTCATCACTTTGAGGGGTAAGTGTTCACTGACTGAAAACTTTTTGTTCAGGGGGCAATAGACAACAAGACGAGCTCCCCCGTGAGGTCGTGAGGGGGCCATCATTCCTTGGGATCCCTTTTGTGCGTGGAAAGTATGGATTATTCTGCCCAGATTCGTGTTTGAAACACAACCTGAAGAGGCTTCTCGATATTTTCCGCCAAACGTGATGGTTTTGAATATCACCTTTTGTGCCCGTCTTTTTGCATGGACATGTAAGACATGTGAGCTGTCTCCCTGTGGCCTGAAGGGGGGGCTTACGGACGCCTCCTGATTTGGGGCAATGGCGCATGCGAGAGCCAAGCTTTGTGGTTTTCACTCCCTGAGTTCCTGGGTGTTCCTGGGTTCTCCTACTAAAGTAGACTACAGAAAAAAGGGTACCCTTATTCTAACCTGTCTACTGGAGGACCTAGGAACATGTTAGTGGCGAGTAACAAGTTGATCCTTGTTTGCCAATCCACTCAGGAAGTGGGTTTTGGATGGCTGTTGACAGAGTGCCGTTGGTTTGGAGCGAGTTTTTTTTCTAGATGCAACATAGGTGTGCAAAAACGCTAGCCAACCAGTTAACATATCCCCCCCTCCCAAACAAAAGAGTTTGAACAATTTGGCAAAGCAATTTTCCTGTTATTGGGGGGTCGCCAGTTCCAGGTTTGTGGTCTTTAGTTTTGAGTATTTCAAATGCCCTTCCAGGCCCAGCACAAGTTAACAGATGACTTTTTTTTATATAAGGGGTTGAAGAGCAGCCCAACCAGTTCTTCTTTTCCAAAAGTAGTGCTTTCCGATAATAAGACAGGGAAGAGAGGTCGGTTGGAGAAATCGCTAGTTCAGTATTGGTTTCAATTGGCCGCGCTGGGGTTTGGAGAGCAGTCTTTTTAATATAGGGGGCACCTGTATTATTAGAGGAAGATATAAGAAGCCGGGTTTAGTAAGCCATCGTTGTCAACTGTGCATATGTCCAATTTCCCCTAAATTGAAACCACACAGGTCACAGGGGGTTGGTAGTTCCTTTCGTCAGATGTCCTGCTTACCCCTCCCCCGCCCCACAACCGCCACCAAAAGTGTACCCTTGTAAACATGTGTCATTGACGTGTCACGTTTGAGTCCAAGGTCTGACTTGGTCCAGGTGGAACTGGACGGGGTGTCAATGATGATGAGCCAAGCCAAGCCTTTTGTAGCAGTGCCTCCTGGCATTTCCGAGGACGGGTTGCTCGGTTGTCGGCGTGCCGTCAGAAGGGTGCTGAGTTGAGAGGGTTGGGAACTGGCAGAAGCCTTCCGGCCATTGGTATGGCCAGACCCCCAGAAAAGGTGTTACATAACGGAAGGCGATTTCACCACTGGTAGTTTTAAGCTGTTCAAGCAGGGGGTGGGGAATTAAAGACCGTAGTGTTTGGGAGTCGTGTAATCAATAAGGTTGAAAATAAGGTCCTCCCACGGAGGACGTGTACGTTTCCCCACTGGCGGTTGGCTATGGCCATGCGCTCCCCACCTCAAATATGAAATTGGGGCTTGTGGCTGACACCCGAAATGGCGGTGGTTCAGGCACCGAGACACAAATCTTAATGGCTTTTTCGGGAAGGGGACCTAGAAACCCCAGTTTGTCACTGGCCGGCACGGCTCCTTGGGGTTTGCATGGGGAGCTTCGCCAAAGAGAAGGGCATAAATTTCTCCAAAAGGCCCCCTATGTGTGCTGCTCTTTCCAATCATGGAAAGACGACTTTGCAAGATTCTGCAAGATGAGTTTCCCAACGTCTGCGTTGATGGGAAAGAGGGTGGGATTGCATGTGTCCAAATCGGGTAACCAACAACATGGATTTCAGTCTTGCGTTTGGCGGCAAAGAAAACACCCCGGTTGTTCCAGGGGGTGGTTGACCCCTACTGAGAACCGTTTGCCTCACAAAAGGGATCCGGGTCGGCCTAGGGTGGGATCCGGGTCGGCCTAGGGTGTTCTCACAACAGAGCCAAAGAAAGGTTTGCTTTCCTTATTTACCCTTTGAACCAGCCCAAAAGGTGCACCCTCTAAATCCCCACATCTGAGAACCAAGCTCATGTTGGATGACCCGTTTGGATGGGTCCTCAAAAGCTTCCATTTGCTGAAATGAATGATTATGTTTCTATTTTCCCTCTTGGTTTCAAAGGAAATCGATTGCACTACTGGACATACAATAATATATAGATATATATATATATATATACATATTTGTTTCCAGGAGACTTCCGCCAAGGAAAGGGTCCTTATGGTGCTTCTGAAGTTGTGTCGCACCAGGCGGTCTTCGAGTCGAGCGGCGCGGATCTCAAGAAAGCCCGGCAGAACCGCCTGGCTCGGCAGCGGATTTTTGGGAACTCCACCGACGGCTTCGACGAGAAGGTGGCGGTCTGGTACCAGGCAGATGTGTCGGCGACGGCGATGCCGAGGGCGAGTGTCCGTCTGGGTGTTTGCGTGTGTGTGTATTGGTTTGGGCGTTTTTGGTTGGCAGTTGGCGGTTTCTTTTTGGGGTCCGGTCAAAAGAAGGACCAAGTGGAAACCGACTTGTCTTCTATCGCTAGCCAATTCGGATGCTTCTTGGATACTGTAGCGGGTGATGACGCTCCCGGTCTTGCCAGCAACCAAGTTATTTTCGTAGCCCTGGACTGAGGGGGCATAAGCCCATAATAAGGCTTTATGAGGGTTTTGATAAGAGCTTATTTGTACTCCCTGCCCCCCCCCCTCTTTCCCCGTGATTTCATCGGACCCTTGGATTGCCAGGCAATCTCACTGGCGGCCATCCCGAACGAGCTCCACGGGGCGTTTCACACCGTGGCGGCTTGGTCAGAGCAAATGGTGAGGGTGGGGCCGGTGTCCGGGAGGTTCTTTCTCTTGGCCTCAAGGAGGCTGCCGGGACAACATAATTTTCAGAACCTCCTCATGTTCACTTTGAGGGAGCCCGGTTGCTAGGCATGTTGACAAGGGTCAAAAGCGTTTTGGACGGATCAACTATGGCAGTGATTCATGCCTTACTTTGAGGAAACCCGCACGTTTTGGACGCATCAACTACTGATTCATGGCTATTTGAACAAATTTGCCTTGCCCATGGAACATTGGGGCGCCACTTCCCCTGTGTCATGAAGCAGCGGTTGCTGGGACAAACAAAAAACGTCCAGGGCATGGCAGACCGCTGTCCATTTGGATGTTTCAGGGGCAGTATGCTCTGCCCGTACAGTACAACACCCGCATTTTGAGACGTTGCATGGGTGAACACTGCATTGCTTTCTGGCAGGCGCGCTTGATTGTTTGTCGGGCGCCCACGTTGTTTTGTTTCCCGCAACTTGGTGTGTGCCTTGTTGTAGGGCATAGTTTGAGGCTCCTTACCACAAAGCGCAGTGGCCTTCTTTCGGGGAAGCAAACTTGCACGGACGGATCACATGCGTCCACGGCAGCAAACATGCCAAGACAAGACGAGGCATGGGCTTGGTTTTGAAGGGGAGCCATCAACGTGAGGTCCACCCCCATCCCTGAATTCCGGAAATCTACAGGGCCCGAACATGTTGGGTAATGAGGCAATAAAGGGAGGGGGATCGGGTTCGTGGTCAAAGTCAAAGGTACAGGGAGGGATCCCGGACCACACTTCTTTTAAAACACAGCTTGTTCATGCATTTTCCAAGGTTTCTTCCACTAGTGGGTATAAGAAATCAATGCATAACCAGTGAGGCCTTATTTCAATTGGGGATGCCCTACCCCTCCCCTCCAATTGCGTAGTTCAAGAGCATTAGACCACGTAGACAGGGATGGTCGGACAACCATTCCCCTAGAATTGCTCCAGAACAACTGGGCCCAAAGTTTGGGCGTTAGGGATTGTAAAGGTCAGAAAGTGGGGCCCTTCGGCTTGGATCACTGGGAAATGGCAACTCGACCCGCAAAAAGCGACCAAAGAGGCCCCCTGGCGCGATAAGCAAGGCAGTTGGGGCCAGAAGCACAAGACGCCCTGCATGGTTCTATGAGTCGTGTCGCGCGTGGGAATGTCTACAGCTTGTCGGAATGAATGCGTCCTTGATGTGGCATTCCCTTCTACAACGCACCCTTCAGATTGGGTGGAGGCCAAAAGCCAGGCAAACCTTTTTACAGACAGGCGATTCTTGCGTTTTCAACAACTTTCCTTTCAGAAAATTCTTTCGGAATTGGTGCCCACCAATGCATGTTGCTGGTGTGAAGGCATCTTGGCATTGTCCGCGTGGGTCCTTCGGCTGTCCTTTTCGATTCGTGGGAGGCGGAGCTGCAGAACAGCTGACATTGTTCACTTCACTGCTAATGGGTTGGATCTTTTAGACTTCAACTTTTTGGGAAATCAAGGGTTTTCCACAACCTTCAACAAGTTACACTTTTGCAGGGGGTCAACAGCAACCAAGCTCAGGTCGATTTATTGGACCAGCGCGAGAATGCACCCCACGACCTCTAAACCACTCTAGGCCACCATCAGACCATCCCTTTTTCTCCAAGCAGTCCAAAGATTCGTTGCAAATAGAGAAGTGCAAAGACCTCTTTGATTTTGCTCTTGGAACGCCACTCTACCTTGGAATTTGGTGTTCAGGTGGCCCAGACATATATATGGCTGTGGCTCAAATAACTGTACCAAAATTGCCCTTGGCAAATGAAACCAAAGACTAAAAGCTGCGGTTGGCCGTATCTCTTTAATTTTGAGCCACGCCCATATCCAAAAGGGAACTCCAAGCACTGAACTGCATGTCGGAGCGTAGGTTCGGTCCGTGGGCACCGGGCCCTGGACTTCCGGTCTGAGATTTGGAGACTCCCAGGTTGATGTGACTCGGCCAGGAGGAAACCGTCGCACTGGTCGCGTGGTTGAAACCAAGGTTGAAACCATAACGTTGGTGGGAATCGAATCATTCCAGGGTATCTAGGTGGTGCGAAATGGATTTCGTCCAGTATTTTGGGGTCCTTACAGCCGAAAGGGTGCTTTGAAAGTCGCATTTCCATTTCTCAAATCGCACCGGAGAAGCAGGGTGTCCCTGAAAAAACCGCCAAGGGACATGTTGAGGATGGTCCAAGATGGGGAAGTAGGTGTTAAAGGTTCACGGTGCGTTCCCCTTGAAGGCTCCGCATTTTGTAGCCGTCGAAATCCAGGGCCGTTCCAGAGGCACATCCTCAATTTACACTGCCACCGACTTCCCCGGAAAAGCAACAGCACGTACGTTTATTAGAGGCATCTCCTTTGGGCGGCCCCCGTTTTGAATTTTCTCTTTGTTGGCATTGCAGTGATGCCCACTGCTTGCGTGTGCTGGAAGAAGGGGACACCTTTTGTTGGGAGGGCCCAGGGCCGGGCATTTTTAGGGGGGTCTCCTCAAGCAAAGCATCTTGTGGTGCGAGGTGGCTACATTTTGGTTGCCAGCCTCAGGTGGGCAAAGTTTTTGTTGCGAGGTTGGCTTATCGGAGTTGCGATGGCCTCAGGTGTTGGCGATTTGGCTGGGGCAAGCCCTTGCGTCGAAGAGCTGGGGCGACGGGGCGTTGCTGCTGGACGCTCACGTGTTCCGTTCGATTGGAGGGGCCACGGTGCGTCGAGTATTTGGTTAGGAGCAATGGTTCCTTGCAACCCACTTGCAACCCACTTGTCCCCATTGAGCTAGTTACAACCAATGCTTACCAAGGACTTTCTAATTACCCAGGCCCTTTGAGTAAAAGTACTCCTGAGTTGCGAGCTTGCTGCCGACTTACTTAAACCAGCTTCTCACTTGCCCCAGATGAAGCCAGGTAACAGGGGTATAGATGCTTCGTAAGATTTGTCCAGCCCCCCTCTTTGAGTGTGTGGCCTTTTGTTCGTGTTGGTTCAAAGGGAAATCAGAGGGCAGCCACTAATTGGAGGAGTTTCCTCATTTACCAACAGCCCCATTTACAACCCAGCAACCGTGGTATTTCCTGCATGCAGAATTTCAGGGAGAAGCATCAGGGCCTCCATGACCGCTCAGAAAGCTTCGCGGAACCCTTCTGAGAACGCTGAGAACCTCTTCTAAGAAGATTGTCAGAACGCTTCTTAGAGGTGCGGTCTCCCAGGTTTTCCCTTGGATTTGCCTATTTCGTGGCAGGCCTGGTAAAGGGGCTGGCTGGCTTGTCTCAAGGCTTCCTTTGCTTCACAGTTGGGCGTGTCCAGAAGGAGCAGACCGACAAACGGACAAACAAACAGGCAAACAAAACAACACAGTGCCACACAACTTGCTTTGCGCGCATGCCACATGCTAGTTTCAGTGTGAAATTGTTGGCTTGATTGTTTCCCTGATAGTTACGAGCGCTGGCCTGGGTGCTGAGTGCCGCATGGCTGGTTGCGGAATCCACAAGCCAGTCAGAAAGACTAAGGGAGGGCTTACGGGAGGGATATGTTGCTTGCTTGCTTTCTTGCTTGCTTGCTTGCTGGCTGGCTTGCATCCTGGCTTCCTTGCTTCCTTGCCTTCTTGCCTCCTTTGCTTCCTTGCGTCCTTGCGGCCTTGCTTGCTTGCTGGCTGGCTTGCTTCCTGGCTTCCTGGCTTCCTTGCTTCCTTGCCTTCTTGCCTCCTTTGCTTCCTTGCTTCCTTGCGGCCTTGCGGCCTTGCTTGCTTGCTGGCTGGCTTGCCTCCTTTGCTTCCTTGCTTCCTTGCGGCCTTGCGGCCTTGCTTGCTTGCTGGCTGGCTTGCTTCCTGGCTTCCTTGCTTCCTTGCCTTCTTGCCTCCTTTGCCTCCTTTGCTTCCTTGCCTCCTTGCGTCCTTGCGGCCTTGCTTGCTTGCTGGCTGGCTTGCTTCCTGGCTTCCTGGCTTCCTTGCCTTCTTGCCTCCTTTGCTTCCTTGCTTCCTTGCGTCCTTGCGGCCTTGCTTGCTTGCTTCCTTGCTTGCATGCTTGCTTTGCTCGCTGGCTTCCTTGCCTGCTTGCTCGCTCGCATTGCTCGCTGGCTTGCTTGCTTGTTTCTTTGTCTGTCAGTTTCAGTCACCAACCTTGAAACACCAGCTTGCATCCCCATGGGAAGAGGGCAGCAGCAGCTCAAGCCTTTCTAGTTGATCATGTGTTTGTTGCGATAGAGGGGGGCAACAAACTCATGATTGCGTGATGAATGGTTCATCTGACGTTTCACGCCAACTATATAGATTCCAAGTCCTCTTATCATTGGCCGAGCTGCAGGGACCTCACCAAGGGGTTGCGACCGCACTCAGAAAGAAGGTCTTCGCCCGGGCTTTTCTAACAATCCCAGACCTTTGCAAGCAAGTCAGTCCCTGGCAGATCCATCTGATTAAACGCAAAGCCTGGGAACAAAGTTCGCTTTCACCTGACAGTCTGACATGGAAGCTGTATGGAGGCTCTTGGAATACATAACTCTCCTCAAGGACTTCTGTCGGCTTCCATGCATGAAGGAGTTGCAGTTGGGTGAAAGTAGATGGCACCATCCCCCCCGTTTTGGCTTTAGTCATCCCCTTGACTTACCCACAATCAAATTAGGTTCCAAGCGATTCCTTGAGGGGTTGATAGCCGTTTGCAAGCGTCTGCACCTGACAAAAGCAGACATGGATTGCTCATGGGGTGTCATGGGTTAATGTATATATTTATATATGGACATGAGGGTTCCGTTTTGGTCAGTTTGATTGAAACCAGCTTGCTTTGAGTCTTTTACCAGGTTGAATATGGACCCCTAGTTAGCTGGATCATCCGTTCGTTGCATCTCAGCTATGGAAACTAAGTCCCTCCCCCCAAGGGGTCAACAAGGTTCGTTGGACGTTCTGCAGGGGTGCTCAAAGCAATATAAAAATGGCTGCCAATCGGGATTTTGAGCAAAGGACTACTGCTGCTTGGTTGGATCTTGAAGACTTTGGGGGATTTACTGTCCCGCCTACCCACCGCAAATCACCCCTGAGTTCCTGGACTTTATACTGTTTGGGTTTGAACAAATTTGTGGCATTCCCAAAAGTTTGACTTCTTGGTTGCCAATCAACATCGGATTCCTGATTGAAACGATTCACGACATGTTGAGCTTTGTTTCCCTATTTGTGCCCATGTTTCGTCAAGTATTCCCAGGTCGCTTGGGCAAGTCAGTTGAACCAACCAACCAACCAAACCAACTGCTACTGTACCTCTTCATTTGCATCTCACTGCGAGGACTACTACTTGTACTCCAGCTTCGTGGAGAACCCGGGAAACCAATGCTTTTTGCACTCCTCCCAGCAGGGGCCCAAGACAGGACGTGGTTGCCAGGGGTCCAAGGCTTTGGGGTACTGTGGATGGATGCGACGTCAGTTTCGCACCATTCAGAAGCCCTGGCTTCGGTTTCGATTCCCCTTTGCATACCAACAAACCATATTTTCCCAATATTTTTTAGGTACAGGATTTCGTCCATCCAAAGAATTGGCCAGGATCTGCTCACAATGACAGGCTGCTTTGCGGGCTGTCATTGCATGTTTTGCACGCTCGCCACAGTACCTGCCGCCTGAGGCGATGTGGGGACTGTTTGTGGACCTGCAATCAGAGGCAAATTCCGAAAGGCAGGGCACACATGACACACGAAGCAAGCAACAAGCCACCTCTTTGCATTCAATGTGGGTTGCCTTCGCTGCAAAGTTGAGTGCCTTTCAATACTTCATGGCGTATGTTGGCATGGTGGCGTGGCGCCTGTTTCAGAGGATCTCGCGTGTCTTCTCTTAATTCCAATTCTGTTCAAGCTGCGGAGTACTCATCACTTGACCCTCGCATTTTTGCGCCTATGTGGGACGGCGCAGTGAAGATTCCCTCGCCAGGTTTCCCACTACAAGTCGGCGCATCTAGGGGTTGCTCCTTTCGCACGGGCCGATTTGAAGATAGGACATTTTCTCGGATGCTTGCAGCTGGATATCAAAAGGAAAATGCCTGCTTTGAATTCGGGGCCCCTGATTTGTGACACACCCACACACGCCACGTTTTTGCGGGTTTTGTGGGAGAGTTGCAGCACAAATCCAGTAGCAAGCAGACGGCCCATTTGATGTGCTGATGTTTGAATGCTGGCTGAGTCCCCACAACTCCACAACGCAAAGGTTTCCTCCCCACTCTTCACGAGACAGGATCCCAAATCAGACATAGCGTTGGATGAATGGCACCAACTGACCCATTATTCATTGGGTTTCATACGTAGGGGGTGCAGGATTTCGTGGACTTGTTTACCCCGAGGTTCCTGAATTCGGGACATGGTCGGTGAAGCCTTTGCACGCAGGCAGTTTCTACCTGCCGGAGAGAGCGTTCATGACCAACGACGACAGCAAGCCCTGTGTGGGACAGAGCGAGTTCGCTTGCTCCTTCAACGGAAGCTCGGGCATGAGTTTTCCACAGAGAAGAGGTCAAGTTGAGAGTGAAAGGAAGCCATGAGTCGATGCTGGACAGAGGTTTGCCCGCGCCTTCAGGGGCCACTACATTGAACGCCTTGGCCCTTTCCCGCATCCGGATCCCGGTTTCCCGATTGAAAAGCCGGGTTTTCTGGGAATGGTTGGAAGTTGGTGGACGAGGTTGGAACAGTTGCTCAGAAATTGCGGGGCTTGACCTAGGTTTCCTGATTTGTCTATGGTTCATTTGGGGGTAGAACTCATGGAAACTCTCAAGGCGCGAGCCCCCACGAGCACTATTTTACCATTTCGGAAACGTCAAAGAGAAAAACTGACCGTGCCTCGGTTCGAAACACATTAACCTCAAGCCATCCACACCTGGGTCGAAGGTCTGGAATTCCGCCTGGTCTTTTTTTGTTGGCACATCGAGTGCCATGACTGCTGCGGCTGTGTGCCACGAGTTAGGCTGTGTTGGTTAGTGGAATCGGCGGAAGATTGACTATTGGAGGAGTTCCTTAAAGGCTTTTGTTACCCGGAGGTTTTTGCATGACTTAGGCGTCATCAGCGCGTATTCATGCAATGCATGGTTGCGTCGCAACTTGTTTCTTTGGACCGGTGACGGGACATGCTGTGCTGCTGCTTTGGTCCAGGACAGGTGCCAGGATGAATCGGGGTGTAGAGGGAGACTAGCTCTGTCTGAACTCCCCCCTTCCTCGGGTCGGTAGCGTTGAGCTTGTCAAACCTGGATGTTGTGAGCAAACTATGAGCCCCTCTTTATTCATATGTGGGGGTTTCCCTGTTTAGTTGGGATGCATCACTTGGCAGGGGAACACCCCCCATATCAATCCGGGGTCAACATGAGCGGGTAACGTTTCATCCAGACTCTGGCAGCTTCCTTTCCAGCGTTTGCCGTATTCTGGGCCATGTGCTCGTTTGCGGGGGTGTGAAAAAACAGAGCAACTCAGGCTTCCCTTGGTTGCTTTTCTAGGTCCCCCAGTGGTGCCCTTTTACCCTTTTTTTGGGGAGGGTTCCCCTACTAAAATAGACTACAGAAAGAAGGGTATCCTTATTCTAACCTCTCTACTGGAGGATTCAATTGGCTATTACCACCCAGTGGTACACTGCACTTTTTGACTCGACTCAGTTCTGACATGTTTGATGCCAAGAGGAGAACCAAAAGGGTATCGATATGTTGCGTTTCTTCCATGCCCATCCATTGGAAGGCAACATCTGCAAACTGTGAAGTCAGTTCGAATTGGCATGGCGTGGGCGTGTTTGTTGCATGGTACTTTGGTTTAAGGGTACCTTTTTGTGTAGTTTAAGAGGAGTTTAAAGGGACACCCCCCCATTTTGGTTGCTTTCCCAATGGAGACGCACCCATAGCTGCCGTGATCTGGAATTGTGTCTGTTGTGTTTAGATTTCCCGACATGCAGAAAGACAGACATTTCATTCGGCAACAGTAGGGGTTGGCCAGACTTCCCCACTCAAGTCAAAAGGCAACCAGAGAGGAGAAGCCGCAGTTTCGCATGAGCCACACGCAAGGGGTCGAACGTGGATGTCCGAACAAGTTGGACTTTGAAGAACAGGTTCCTGTATAAAATATATATATATATATAGATATATATTTATATACCTGGGGCCTCCTAGACCTTTATTTCTGAAGGACCAACAAAAATAAGCAGGTTCTTGGCTCCAGAAATGTTGTTTGAGTCGGCGGGGCGTATTTTGACCCTTTGGCTTATATCTTTCTATATATATCTATATCTATATCGGGGTGCGATAGCTTGCAGAGTTGGATCATGTGCGTGTAGCATCCTATCCATTTGTCGGAGCCTCATTTAGGGTCACCCAATTGAAGGAGCCATGCCACATGCCCACGGACCCACTGACAAGCAATGAAACAGCCCCGACAATCGGATCGCAGCCATGGGTAAGGTTTCTTTTCAGCGCTGAAACCGCTGAACCCCGTTCCCCCTCCTCCCGGATTTGTGACTTGATCATTTCTCCGCGATTTTGCCTGAGGAATTGAGATGCTTGGCTGCAGCGCCGCGATTTTTTCGAGAGAGTGCAGACAGAGAGGAAAGGCTGATCGCCAGATCTCGTGGCCTTTGTGCCACAGAAAAGTGGAGTAGGACTGACTCAACCCTCCAGGCGCCTTTGCTTAGTGGACCAAGGGGGTGGGCAGGTAGGCCCAGTTGCGGGCCCTTTGTTTCTTCCAAAAGGGGTCAAAGGGCACTTCCGCCATCTTCCGCCATTTGGCTGGGGTCAAAACCAATGAAACCATGGTGGGGCAGGTGCACCACCATTTTAGAACCTATTTTAGTGGTTGGATTGTGATGTTCACTGGGGGTACGATTTGGCTTTTGACTCATGGCCATTTAGGCAAGTTGTAGATTCCTGGTCGCCACCAGTACCGAAGCTGCACCGCGGAGGAACGTGATGTGGAACTTCGGCTTGAAATCCACTGCCCAGCTGTGGCGGACGGTGGATTTGGCGCTGAAATCTCACGAAGGAGACGTGAGCCGATCTGCCCCTCGGCGATCGGAACGAGATCGCGGAATGTTCGATTTTTTTGAGGAGCCACCTAAGTTTGAAGGTTCTCTCTTTTAGGGGCACACAAAAGATTGCGCAAATACGACGGAGCAAATATGGGGCCTTTTCTCTCAGGGTGGTGGGCCAATGAGCCGAGCCTTCGCACCTTCAAGGACCACAACCCATTACAGGAATGCTGAAACATATTGGACTCACCTGAGCTGGGATGTCATTCAAATGGTTTTACATTTCAGGTTTGCTAAGTATGGAGCAGGATCAACACACGATGTTTGATTCAATTGATTGGCGGCAGAAGCTGAGGGTAATAAAATGCCAGCACACCGACCCCAGCATGTTCCTGGCAGCAATGCTACACCAAACGTGAAATCACCCTTATGCCAAGGGCAACACCCGAATGAGCGGACATGCAGGCAGCTGGGCCTGTCCAAGGAGTAAAGATGGCGGGGGGGGGGGTGAGGCCCACTGCCGGGGTACCTATCCCAGAAGGGAACTGGTACCTTTGTGGTAGTAGAGGTCGTTGATTTGGTCCCTGGATCTATTCCGGAGAGAATCCAATATGCCACTATGGATGATTGGAGGATGGATTGTCCCTGGTGGATTGTCTTGTGGATAATCCTGTAAGCGGCCTGCAAAGGTTCTTTTGTCACGCAATCATGAATGATGCTATGTTACACAAAAGGGGCCTTGAACCAAATGTTGCAGGAGATCAAGTGTTCAGAAAACCAAACACAAAACAGACACAAATTTCTTTTGATCTCCAGCACTAAGTATGAAATACTATTGGCTTCATGGCCTTTGGCCGTAGCCTTGCTGTATGCCGTAGCCATGCTGTATGCCGTAGCCATGCCGGATTCATCCTCTTTTCTGCTCGGATGAAATGTCTTGGCTTTCGAAATGGAAAACACTATGTACTGCTTCTTTTTGAGATACCTAGATGCATCAAAAGGTGATGTACAACGCTCTGTACACGCGGGACGATTGTGAAACTATTGATCTCTCACTGTATAGTCTTGTAGGCGGTGAGGATCAATCATCTGAATTGAGTTCGTGGTGCTGAACGTATGAATCTTCATGGTCAGTCGGATCGACGATACCATCGACGGCTGCTGTCGGATTGACTGCCATAGTCTCCATAATCATTCCAGGTCGAGGTGCTATAGTCCTTCCGCTGCTTCTGATGTCCCCACTGCTTGTTGTAGTCCTTGTACTCCTGCGGGGGCCAGGCTTGTTTCTTCTTGAGGTACTCCTGGTATCTCTCAGAATTGCGTTGCCTGGTTGCAGATTTGCTGCGGATGTAAACCATGAGGGGACTGTGCGAGTCGGAGTCCTGTGAGCCATTCATGAACATGTCATTGTTCACGTGCTTAAAGCGCTCTGCGGATGAGACCTGGTAATCGAATATGGCCTTGGTTGGATCGTTCCGCATGGATTCCAGTTGTTCATCTTCCATACCGTTCATCTCGTCCTTCCGGAAAGCCTGCTGGATGTTTGTTTTGCCCCATCCAAACACGAAAGTCATCATCACATCTGGGAATGTTCGATCATATCCTGATCCACACTTCATGTACAGGTGATGACGGACAATGGATTTTAGGGTGCACGAAGTCTCCATCGCATACTCCATTCTGTCCATGAGTGGCAAATTCTTCGTTTCATTCCACAGTCTCTGATATGCCTTCATGAGGATGTTCACGAGACCGTTGGCCGGATTGAAGACGTGCTGGAGTTTGCTGTAGGCATTCGCTGATGTATTGGCGTCTCCGGTGATCGCATCGCATCGGTACAAAGTCACGAGCGGCATGATTTCATTCTGAAGATCTTCCAATGCTGCTCCATGGCTGATTGAAGGATGAATGTGGAAAACTCCAATGGTAGCAAATGGGAGATCTGCCCTCGTTATGTGGCGGTCGTCATACTCGTGGAGTGACTTGTTGGATGATTTCGGGATCATGCCACGAAACTCATCACTCTGCTCGATATGGAGAACGACGATCTCCTTGTCTCGGCCATGTCCTTGGACAATGGTGCGTGCTGGCAATCTCGGTCCAATGTTCTTCTTGGATTCGGTAAACATGGATGGTCCCGTAGTTGCCAAGCAATCCGAGGTCGGAATTTCGTATTCGGGATCAGTGCAACTTCCTTCGGTTCCGAAGAAACATCTGAACATTCCGAATGTGGTTCCCCAGTTCTGACTCTTGGTGGAAATGTGTCTTGCCAGAAGCTCCACTCTTGCAGAAGGTCCGCCGCGGACAAAGCACGCGATCGGTCTGGATGACCATTGCTTGATCACGATGCCCTTGTACCCGAATCGGATGAACGTCTTGATGAGCTCCCTGGATGTCTCATCATTAGGACTGAAGAATGCGTCTGCTTCATTCAGGCATAAGATGTGTGCACTGTTCTGCATCATCATCTTCACGATTGGTCGATCCTTCATCGGCATGTTGTACACCTCCCTGTTGTCCAGCTTTGGATTCCTCGTGAGGTTTCCATGGTTCAAGGTAAGCATGTTGATCGCTATGGATGAGGTGAACTCATGCATCTTGAGATAGTCCACAGGAGGACGGTCGGTCGGCTGCATCAACGATCCCAGGATATCAGCATATGCTCGGATGATTTCCGGGTCATCATGTGACCTAAGCTTCTTCAATCCAAGTGGAAGCTTGATCGGATATCCGGATCCTGGTTGTGCTTGCTTGTGCTCGTCCATGTTGGGACATTCTCCTCGATGAGGGAAATAGAATTCTTCTTCTCCGAGATTGACATCGGGATCGACATGTGCCAATGAGGCTCTCTCGCGCTCTGTCAATTTGGGATGAGCTCTTCTTGGATCTTTGTTGTACTTGTTCATGAAGCGGAGGAGGTTTGCCTTGGTCTCCGCGAGCTCTTCCTCTGCGTCCTTTTTGTTCAATTCTGTTTCGAGATAGATTCCCTTGAGTTCCTGGATGAACTCGTCTTGGTTCTCTGAATTGTGATATTCCACGGTGGCCTTTGGTTTGACGGATCTTTCCCCGGAGGGTTCCATGGTTTCCTCTTCAGCTTCGTCCTGATCGGTGGAATGCCGTCGCTTCTTGGTCTCTGAGGAAGTATCCTTTTCTTTGCTGTGCTTGGTGGAATTAAATTCACGGATCTTGGTGTCGTACATCTCATAATCTTCATAGCTGAGATGCTTCTTCATGATCCACTTGTTGCTCGCCATGAGGCTGCCATCAGGTTCAAATGCTGCAACAATGTTCCTTGCCTCGATGGTTTGATCTGTCAACGCTGTTCGCTCTTCGGAGAGTCGGATGCCATAGTCTTGGCCCTTGAGGAATGCAAGGATCAACAGTGCATCTCTTCCTGCCGGCACATGGGTCAATGCGGCTTCTGACTGATCGTCGTCAAGGATGACGTCATCGATGCATGCCATGTGGACGTGCATTCTCCCCGAAGGGTTTGACTGGGATTTCCCAGATTTGAGCCCATTCTCCATGATGCTGAGGAGCTGATTTCCATAGGTTGCATGGAACATGAATGTGATGGGCTTCTTCGCGAACGGCTTGATTTTTCTCCTTCAATGGATGGTGGTGCCGGCCTTCGCATTCTGTGCTTGGGTTGAGCTGTGCCTTCATCTTCACGAGGCGCCTCGGATCTTGACGGATGCGGACTTGGTGGAATGGATTCCGTTGGGAGATCATAGTCCGGTTCGTCGTATTGAGGCTCTCTCAGCTCAGAGTACAGGGGTCGTCCAAAGGATTGGATCTCGACTTGTCGTGTGTGTCCGCTATTGCATCTCACGTAGAACTCCATCTCTGAATCGACATAGAATTCCTTGCCATCTGGCCGGAGTGCATTTTGTGCTCTCGTGTTGAGCTTTTCGATCCACCGATTCCTTGGAACAATTCTCCCCGTGCCTTGCGTTCCTTATATGACCCGTCCACGGATGGAAACACGAATGCAATTTCGAAACGTGATTTTCCATAGCTCGGGAACATAGCCATCAAGAGAAGTCCTGGCTTATTTCCAATGAAGTTCCTGGCATGTGTGATGCAGGTCAATGCGTTATAGAGCTCAACGGATCCATCAAAACCCATGTCCACTTGTCGTCTGCATTCCTTATGGATACCATGCCTTGGATCATGTCGAAGACATCCGGAAAACCATCTGCTCATTCTCTCGATTTTTGCGTATGAGGTCCTTCACCTTGGAGTGTTGGCTGCCAGTAATCGTTGAATCTGGCCTTCAACCAAAATACTTTGACTCCATGTGGTCGTTCATGTTCAGGGATGAAGTGGAAGGCCGGATTGATGGATCTTGAATGGATGTCCTCGTCGTGATGAAGAATTCATGGTAATGCGTCTTCAGCATCTCATAGGAGTAGTTTTCTAGTGAGATGTTTCTCAATGACATTGCACTTGTCAGTCTCTCTCTTTGCTGATCTGACAGCTCACTCTGAGTGATGAAAAACTGTGCAATGAGATTATCCCCCAAAGGAAATGCGTCCCGCTGTCTGTCCTGCATTCCCGTGATATATTGTCTGAGGACTACTGGATCATCCTCACTTAGCAGGGCTGGAGGCGGTGCTCGAACACCGGCTGCTTGCTGATGTCGAGCAATTGTTCTTGCATTTGCTTCCTGTACGGACTGTCTAAATGATGGGGACTGCGCCGTAAGAATTTGCATCAAGTCCATCCATGCTGCCGTCAATCTCATAAGAAGGATTTCGAATTTTGAGGTAAGAATGAGGAACTCTTGGTTCTGCCTTCGATGATTGAAGAAACTGAGGAGCCTGTACAGATACACGTTGGTTGCACCTTTCAAAAAGTACTTCTTCATCGTGTTCTTGAAGCAGTTGACTCCTTCATCAGGGTCTTGCAGAAGATAATTTTGGAGGACTGCCTTGTACATGTATGCATCTCCGGTCAATCTGCGCTTGAGCAGAGGTCCTCTCTTGGGTGCTTCTACTGTCGTGATTGTCACCCAGTCGTCCACGAATTCTTCATACCTGAACCAGCTGACTTTTCCGTCGTACGATGGCGGCTGCTTGGCGGTCATCGATAAATTGAGTGTTTCCTCCGTATAGCCTTGTTGCTTGGCCATACTTGAATAGGCTTCCATGAAGCCTTCTCCATCGGATGACATCTTTGCTTGGATCTCTGCGGAAAACCCGCTCCGCTACGAAATAGAGGGCCACTGCCGGGGTACCTATCCCAGAAGGGAACTGGTACCTTTGTGGTAGTAGAGGTCGTTGATTTGGTCCCTGGATCTATTCCGGAGAGAATCCAATATGCCACTATGGATGATTGGAGGATGGATTGTCCCTGGTGGATTGTCTTGTGGATAATCCTGTAAGCGGCCTGCAAAGGTTCTTTTGTCACGCAATCATGAATGATGCTATGTTACACAAAAGGGGCCTAGAGAACACGTGTTCAGAAAACCAAACACAAAAGGGGCAGGGTGGGGATAGCATAAGCCTTGAAGCTGCGGCCGAGGCTCCAAAACCAATGCACGGTGTTGGCTAATATCCCCAAAATAGGAGGACCCGAAGAGATGTAGCTTTGCCCTGTTGGTGTCCCATTCAGCTTTTTTTGCCGACCCGTTTAAACAAACACAATGCCATTGCTCGCATGTGCGATTCTTGGTTCATGCCAGTTGCCATCGCGAGGTCTTCGACCGAGTTGCAGACGAGCGTGCCCATGAAGCATTCCAGAAGATGGACCCGTATAGTACCTGATCTTTAGATGTTAGCAGCAACCTGCACCGCCCAGCTGGACTGTGCATTGCATGTTGTTGGTGTTGCCACTAACTAAGATATGGGTGTTGCTGGGAGCCTTTCGCCGAAACAGTTCTAACAGACCCACCCGGGGTGCTGTTTGCGACGGGCCTTGGTCGGAACCGACCAGAGCACCGGAGCTGAAGGCTGGACAATAGTTTCTTGGTTTTCCCGGGCTCCTTCCAAGCTGTAAGCAAACCCATGTGGATCGGCCCAAGGGGCGAGCCGAGAGCCGCATTTTTGCATTGCCGGGCCGGCCCGAACGTTTTCCGCGGGCAAGAGGTCTGTAAGGCTCAGGGTGTTGGCATAATGTGATCCCATTACTTTGAGGCTACCGAGCTCAAACTGACCTGGTTTGCCTTTAACCTACGTGAGTCACTTCAAAAACGACTTTCACCAGGTACACCCCACCTGTCAGAGCAAAAGAGGGGGACAACATACGGGTAGTATAAGTGCGTTGATCATGTTTGCTTAGGTATTTGATATACGACAGGTTCACGGCACGGTTTGGAGGTTATGGCAGTCCTTAGGCTAAGAATTTCAGCTAGCACAAGCGGCCCGTACAAGGGATATGTATTGGAGTGGAATAAGGTATACAACTCAAAAATGAAGGTGTCCTCTTAAAGCGAAGGATCCTACATGACCAAAGGCCCCCCAAAAAAAAACTGATGCCCCTGTAAAACGGAAGATCTTCCAGTTTGGCACAGAAGGATTGTGGCGACAGCTGGTGTGAATGATCGGTCCGAAATTCCGAACGGGAGTCCTAAGCTTCAGACCTCAAACACCGCGATAGCTTGCATTATAAGGTTGGAAGGCCAACCTACTTGAACCGTTTCCCAAAAGCGCGCCAATGTGGCACCCCTGCCAAATTGCCAGGGGGCAAGCCACGTTGACCTTCAGTGGTCACCCTTGTTTTTTCCCTTTTTCCTTTCGGGAGGTGTCCTTTAAACTCAACTTCAGGAGCCTCGTTTTCCCACGGCCACTGGGGGTTTGGAAGTCCATGTGGCCACCGCACTGATCCCGTGCCTACACATGGGTGTAAGCGTGCTTGCGCTGAGTTAGTGGCATTTCTACAACATGTCGAATTGCCCTGCCGGTGGATCCTTCATCCTTTCGTACCGCCTACATGATATAGGTGTCCTTTGCGGGTTGTTTGCCATTACCAGGCGGGGTCCATTGCAGGGTTGCATCGACTCATAGGACCTTTGTGGCCATGTGACTGATGTGACTGGTCCAAATCGGGTTGGATAGCTGACTGGTAACCAGCAGCTAGGACTCTACATTGGCTCGGCCGTGCGTCGCGGAAGAAAAACGCCCGAGAAGTAGACTGGGTGCTGAATAGCATACTGTCGATTTTCACAAGCTGACTTGCCCAAAGCCAAGCTTTTGACCTGTTGGTTTCCCTGGTGTGGCCCAAATTTAGTCAAGGCGTCAAAAGGTGATCGCCTTTTATTTCCCGGTCCTTGGCAAGGGAGCAAAAGGAAGCCAACAGCAGATGATATTCTTTTCGTGCCACCCCCGACCCCCCCTTTGCCCGTTTACCGCCACACGTTTTTACTTGTGGCCGACCTTTGGTGGTTCCTTTCAACAGCTGACTTGTGTGGGGTCTGAGCTCATGCGTATCGGCTTTGAGTGCGCACGGTTGCACTTCCCGCGCGCCACTGCAGGCCTGATGTGGCCTCAAAGTGGACAGCAGCCGCTTGTCGGGTCGAAGGCTTGTAGTTTGTTCACTTGCCTCTGTAATATCGAAAGAATCACCAGCAAGGCTCTCAGCGTCGTGTGGTGCAACATGCCGATTGGTTTATTCCTATTTCACCTTCAACAAGGGTACGTGCATTGCGAATGGAATGCGCGCCAAAGGCCTAGGGCTTCGAGGTCCCAGAGGTCCCAATGAGAAGCCGCCCGCGAGAGGTTTGCCCATTCGAGATGTCGCTGGCAGCTTTTGGCCACTGTGAGCTTTGTCGTTTGATGCCATCGTGGCTTGGCTCGCTTGAGGGTTCAAAAATAACAGCGCCTTTTTCTGGATTCTTCGAGCTCTCAGCACCCTTTTGGCAGGGCAGATTGTGTTTGGTCCCTTTCTTAGAACCTGCAAAAGTGGCGATCGGTTAAATGGAAACCACACGAACATTGATCAACTGGTTGATTTGGGCGGAAATCCTTTCGCGACCCGTGTTTCTGAGTCGATAGTAAACCATTAGTTATATAACCTTCCATTTGCTTAAGCATATGTGTTATTTCCCCCTGTTGGTTTTAAAGGGAATCTATCACAGCTGGAAATATGTTCTCACTTTTTCCCAGGGGGTGACAAAGCAAATGGACGTAACCCCGTGGATTGTTGGTTTTGGAAGGCTTTCCCTGCTTCATGGCGAAAAAAAGCAGCGCTCCAAGCTGAAGGCCCTTTGGGGTGATGCCCCAAGCCACGCGGCTGCCTCCCTTGTCAGGCCGGTTGAGCTGCGGGGTAGCTGGGGAGTTGGGGGATTTGAGCTATATACCTATGCATCAGCACATATAGCATGTATGTGGGTTCCATAGAATGAATCCATTTGGGTAAAGCCTCAGAAGTGCATGACAACAGTGATTGAATGGCCCGTTCAGGCTTTCAGGCATCTAATCAATTACGAGGCGAACCGCAAAGCTCTTGAGGTAGGCTTGTAAGAAGTCCGGTCAGCAGCGTCGCCCACTTTGTTTGCCGGCCGCGGCATCCTCCACTCAAAGATCTTTAAAAGACGAACTTGTCATTGGGCTGGGTGAATGATAGGGACCTCACACGGCTGTGGGTCAAAAATAGGTACCCCAAATGGAACCCTAGTAAGTGGAAACATGGACCGAAACCTGCGGTCCCCTGGTGGGTTAATTTTGACCCATACCCACACGACCTCACCCCAAATGGTGGTTGTGGGGAATAGCCCCCCAACCTGCTTCGCATGGGCTGCGTGCGCGCAGCCCTGAAAGGGTCGTTGCCATGTTACCGTCCTGCAAGTGCCAAGGGAACTTGTTCCTTCGAGGCCCTTGATCTCGCAAGTTTGAGGGCTGCTCAAAGATGCGGGGGGGGGGGGGGAGGCGGTTTTTTGATTGAACAAAGCACGCGGAGTGGGATTTCTAGGATGTGACGTTTGGGCAACTGGTAGCGTGCCAGACTTGCCCAGATGCGTTAGCTTTCCCAAAGGAGCAGGCCATAAATATGTGGGTAATTGTTTAGTTCGTTCAGAACCCTCATAGAGTGCGAACCCTCATTTAGCACAGATTGTGCAATGTTATATTCCACAATCATGGTCGGGAATAGAACCCTTACTGCAATTGGCATGTCATATGTTGCAGGCTTGGGCAGAATTTGGAGAGAGAGAGAGAGAGAGAGAGAGAGACAGAGCGAGAGCGAGAGTGAGAGAAATAGAGCAATATCCGGGAGCCCAGAGCTCTTAGGACCTTAGTCCTGGATATACGCTCAGTCACTCAAAGCTATAACATTTTGATTGATTAATGCCCTTCAATATCGCAAGTGGTTTGGAGCAGTAATCAATTTCCTTGAACTGGGTTCTACAACGGCCAAGGTCAACGCTCGTACCACTTCTTGCCTGCAAACGATTGATTTCATCTTGGTATCCGTTTGCAAATGTGTCCCGGAACATACTGCACTTGTCTGTGCACGCATCCAATCAGCCGAATTTTCGGGCGCGGTCAGGGTAGTGGTTAAGATATGCCAATGAACCCTACCTCGGCCTCTTGCATTCGCGAGGGGCCGATGTGGATGGCCTCGAAGAGGAGGTGGTGGGAGCCCTGAGGGAAGGCATTGCCAAGCATCGGGTAACCAACCATTGGGGCTGCCCGCTTGGGTATATAAGACCGCATGAGGGGGTTGAACATGTTCAGGAACTGTGTGTTGATTCAACGCTTTTTGGTTAGAGGGCAGGAGAAGCTTTGGGACGCAATGTCAAGCAGTGCATCAGGTATGGAGGTTTCCCTTTGCTTTGCCTACCGTGCTTGAGGCAAAGCTCGCAAAACTGCGGCGGCCTCCTGGAGGAGTGCATGCACATATCAACTCATCCTGTCGTGGAGTGGTTTGCTGCACGGAGTCGAGGACCGTTGCGCAAGCTTGGTGCCAGTTGTTTAGTGGCATCTTTTTTCTAGGTCCTTTTTCCCTATAAGAAACTGTAACCCCCCCAAGAAAGAAAACAAGTGCCCTTGCTAACAGGGTCACTGGGTAGTGCTTGCTTTCTTCGACCCCTTCCCGCGAGCCTCGCGTGTCAGAACTGCCATTTGAGCCGTTCTATTTGTGTGGCAGGCAGTGAGATGGCCAATATCTCGCAGCTCGGCTGCGTGTTGCGGGAGGGTGAAGTTGCCAACCCTTGACAACACGCCCGCTACACAGTTTTGCCATTCAAGCAGCCATCGAGCGAAGCAAAGCAAGCTAAGTTCTTCCGCATCATGTATCACCCTGGAGGGGGGGGGCGGTGGGGGGTATTTGAGAGGTTTGGTGGAATCCAGTGGAACCAAAAGTCAGGTTTCGGGCAGCACTCAGGGATGCAGCATTTAATGTTTGGCTTCTGGCTGCATCAACTGCTTTTTGTGAGCTCATGTGCTTCTTGGGCCCACATGTCAAAGGGGTTGAGGGCCAACTTGCACGAGCTCAGGCCTTTTTCGCAATCCACAGCAACAAGCGTTCCACGCTTCCCAAAACGGCTGTGAGTGCAGGTTGCAGGAACGAAGCGCTCTTGATCAAACTGGGGCATGAAAACGGCGGCTCACTTGGGGCAATAGCATCCCCCAAGTGAGCTGTCGTGTTCATGCCCCAGTTTGATCAAACACGTTTCGTTTCTGCAACCTGTACTCACAACCGTTGTTGGAAGCCCGGAACGCGTCTTGCTGTGACAAGGCCTTGCAACAAGGTCGGGAACCGAGCTCGACTTTCCAAACCCAGGGTTGAAATTGAACAAAGTTGGGCTAACGTCAGTTTCTGCGCACCCGTAGCGCCATATGAAGAAACTCGGTTCATTTGTTGAGACCCCGCAATTGGGGGGGCATGAGTGTGCCGCGTTTGGTGCAAACAGTCCCAGTCTCCGATCTCATCACCGAGATGGGTGATAGGAGGCAGCAGCAAACATGTCAAGACTCACGACTCCTCGGGTCTTTTTTTCTTCGAACTGAGTCCGCTAAGTCCCAACCAATTTCAAACTTCGACAGTTTCTCCAAACCCGGGCTGTTGCGATTGGAGAATCTCCGAACTATGGCCCGTTGTCTCCAAACTCAGTGAGGGCAGTTTGGAGATACTCCAAACTCAGGCTCGTAATCTCCAAACTCTAGCCTCTAGCCAATTTCTCCCAACTCAACCTGAGTTTGGGGAAACTCAGGCTCGAGTTTGAAGATTTCCAAATCCGGGTCCGAGTTGCCAAGCCCAGGCCCGTTTCAGAAATTTCACCCAACTCAGGTTTATTGGGGCCTGCGTTTACTCTTTAAAGTCAGGCTCCTTTTCTCCAAAGTCAGCCTTATTTTCTCCAACTCAGCCTGTTTTCTCCAAATCGTGGATGACTTTGCAGTTCTCCAAAAACTCAGGCCCGAGTTTCGAGAATCTCCAAGCGCACCGCCCAAGGTTGGAATAACGGACCTGAGGTTGGAGATTCTCCAAACTCGAACTGAGTATCGAATTTTGGCAAACTCGGGCCCGAGTTTGGAGAAAAAGGGCTCGAGTTTGGAGATTCTCCAAACTCAGGCCCGTTTTCTCCAAACTCGGGATGAGTTTGGAAATTCCCCAATCTCGGACAGATTTTCTCCAAGCTTAGTTCGGAGATTCTCCAAACTCAGTTTGGAGATGCTCCAAACGATGGCCCATTTCCTCCAAACTCGGGTGCGCTGGAGATTCCAAGATTCTCCAAGCTCGGGCCCGAGTTTGGAGAAAACGGGCCTGAGTTTGGAGATTCTCCAAACTCGGGCCCGTTTTCTCCAACCTCGGGCTGAGTTTGGAGATTCTCCAAACTCCAAATTTCAATGTATTTTTCTCCTGCAGAACGCTTATTTTGCCTGAAAATCTCCATCCGAACGCTTATTTTCTCCACCAAAACACTTGCCGAACGCTTCTTCGCGTGTTTCACAAAAGGAGTTTGGAGAAAACGGGCCTGAGTTTGGAGATTCTCCGAACTCGGGCCCGTTTTCTCCAAACTCGGGGTGAGTTAGGAGATTCTCCGAACTCGGGACCGTTTTCTCCAAACTCGGGGTGAGTTTGGAGATTCTCCGAACTCGGGCCCGTTTTCTCCAAAATCGGGGTGAGTTTGGAGATTCTGCCCGTTTTCTCCAAAACCGGGGTGAGTTTGGAGATTCTCCGAACTTGGGCCTGTTTTCTCAAAACTCGGGCTGAGTTTGCGGATTCTTCAAAGTCAGGCTTGTTTTCTGCAAACTCAGGTTCAGTTTAGAAGTTCTCCAACCTCGGGCCCTGTCCCTCCATTTTCCAAACTCTGAGAGCTTCTTGGCTTCGTACAAAGAGTTTGGACTAACCAGGACTAAGTCTTCTTCAAACTCAGGCCCATTTTCTGCAAACTGGGGCCTGCGTTTGGAGATTCTCCAAACTCAGTTTGTTTCTCCAAACTCGGCCCGGGCTTGAGATGATTCTCCAAACTCAGTCAGGGCTGTTTTCTCCAAAGTTGGCTTGAGTTTGGATAATCTTCACGCTCAGGCCCGTGTTTTGCAAACTCGCCTGGCTTTGCGTGCGAAGACGCGTTTCGCAAATGTATTGGTGGCGACTATCCGCTTTTCGATGGAAATTGAATGGGTCAAACAAGGGTTTTGTTTGGTCAATATAGACAAGACTAAGTTCGGCAAATCTCGAAACTCAGGCTGAGTAAAGGCCAACTTTAGGGACCCCCAAATTGATTTCTCAGGGCTGAGTTAGGAGCAAGCGAGCTTAAGTTTGGAGAGCTTGGAACATCTCCAAGCTCAGGCTAAGACGTGGAGAAAAGCAAGCCTAAAATTGGGGCACATTCCAAACTCATCCATATTTTTGGAAACCTGAAGGCGAACTTACAAGCGAGCATTATCCTCAGAAATCTGCAACTCCCCAAGGAAAAGGGCTGCGCCATCGTGATGTAGTCACTTGCATTACCCTATTCCAGAACACTGCTCGGAGCAAATGGGAGCAGCGCTTCCCGAGACAAGCTTGCTAAGGTATGTCCGCATGTTTTGACAGAGATTTGGAGTCCTTGTTTGGCGTGTGTTTTGCTGGCACAAGGCTTGATTGGCCGAAATATCATTGAAACGGCATGCTGTGGCATGGTCCAAGCGGTCTTGGCGTTTGGGGTTACCGGTTGAAAACCTTTGTGCTTTTTGGTTGAAAAAACGTAATCTGAGCTGCTTGAGGCACTGGAAGAGTGGTGGTGTGCGCTGTTTTTTCTGAAGCCCTTAGAACGCTTCTGCAAACTATTCCCCGGGACCTCGCGCAAGTTAACAGAGTTGAGGGGCTCACAAATGTGCAACGCACATTTTTTTAGCCCTTTGCCCTAAGGGTGATAAAGGGAAGCCTTTTGGGGCCTGTCAATTCTGCCCCCGAACCTCAAAGGTTTATCCTCCCAATTAACCTGGAACCCAGCAGGTACCCGGCCCCTTTAAAAGGAGAATGGTCCAAACCAGGACCCTCCCCCCCCGAACGTCGAACGGTAACCCCCTTGACGGCTTCCTAGGAGGGGGTGCTCACTGGGGTCAGGTGGAGTCACCCGAGGCGCAAGCGCCGCGACATGGCCCTGGCAGGGCGCGAGGCGGCGACTCCCAGCCGCGAACGGGAGGCTTTGCCCCCGCGCCTTGGTCGGGGCGAACGGGGAGAAGGTGGGGGGGAACCGGGGGGGAACGGGGGGGGAGACGGGGGGGGGCACTGGTAGGGAGGTAGGTGGGTAGGCAGGTAGGTGGGAAGGTCGAGAGATGGATGGATAGATGGATAGACAGATAGCGAGATGGATCGATAAATAGAAGACATAGAGAGAGAGAGAGAGAGAGAGATGGAAGATAGATCGAGAGATAAGATAGACAGGGAGGTATGGATGGATAGACAGGTACACAGACAGGAAGGTAAATAAACAGATAGGTAGGGTGTTTTTTGTTTTACATTTTTGGATGGAAAACTATGAGGAAATACAACAGAGTGCATCTCAGAAGTCAAACATGCGAAGCACAAAAGTTTTTCCTAAAGTGTGAAATCACCTCCTGTGCTTGCCGTTGTTGATTACAAATAGGCAACAAACACCTCAAGCCCTAAAAAGCACAAAATGAACAGAAAATCAAGCATTCAAGACACAACGTTTTGCCATCCCCTTTTGCTATTGAATTCCCCATCTTGAGGCAAACCATGGTGAGGCATGCAGGTTGACTTCACAGTCTTAGGCGCGCACTTCCGGGCACACTGCTGAAGACCAACGGCCGCCGCCGTGTGCTTAGCGCTACTCTCGGACGCCCTCCAGGTGTTTGAGTCAAACGGGGATCCTTATGCATCCCCGTTTGGCTGTTTAGAGTGAAACCAATTTTCATCAAGCTTCTGTGTGGCCAGGTGATGCTAAAAGGGACAAATCAGGACCCATAACAAGAGCACCGAATGGCAGACAAGTGGAAGGAATGTTCCCCTCATTTGCCTGCTCCCCGCTACTTAAATCCTCTCAGTCAATGAGCAAGTGATGGGCATTTTCTCACCGGCGACCAAGCAAACAGGTTGGTTGCATTAGCGCACTTGAAGTTGTTGTTCAACTTTTTTACCAATTTGCCTGGCTCTGCCCTTCTTGGCACACGGTGCTATCAGTTGCCACTCAATCCGGTCGAACGGATTTTTTTCAGACCTGATGCTATGCTGTGCTGGTGTTCGAGCTTGCTTGAAATTCATGAAATTCTTGGTGGGATGTAAGCTTTGTTTTTTTAGTCCCGGCGGCAAAGCGTTTGTTTTCCGCTTTGGCTTGTGGATTTCCATGTCACCCCAAAGCTCCAAACAGTTGTTATGCAGGCGCTTGACTTTCGTGCCTTGCTCGCCCAAATACCCTCCCTAGCTTGTTCATGCCATTAGCCGGCTTCCGCAGCTGCTGACTCCAGCTCCGGGAGACAGACCAACCTTGACACCTCAAATTGCGGCGCGCGCAAATCCAGGAATAGGAGCCGATGAGACATCCTGCTGGTTGGCGAGAGTAGCTTTAGTTGGCTTGTTCGGCACACCTTGCGGCAGAAGGGATACCCAACGTTTGTTTGGTGTATATTGTCTGTTTTTGGGGGCATGTACTTTTATCACAGCATGTTTGCTTATTGCCATGGCCAATGCGCCATGTGGCTCAAGTTTACTGTTCCGGCGACCGCTCCCGCCATAACGTCGGCTAGCTGTACACGGCGCCGCAGCGACCACGCGGAAAACGACCGCGTGTTCGCCAGCCGGCGGTGGCAGCGTTGCTGGTTGTGGGTCAGGAGTTAAGGGTTGGGGACTTGCTTTGTTGCTGCTGCTCCGCTTTTGCTTGGTTAATTGCTTTGCTCGCTTGCTTGCTGCGCTCGCTTGGTTGGCTGCGCTGGTCCCCTTTCCTGTTTGGGTTTTGCGGTTAAACAGGATCCCCCGTTTGTTATCTGTGTGGTTCATTGCCAGCCGAGGGCACCACTTTGCCCTTGGGACTGGGGGGCTTAAACTGTCTCTTCTTGTTGGTGGGTTAGGGCCTGTTTATTCTCTCCCGAAATACTGTTTCAAACCCTTTCGCAGGTTATCAGCCGTAGGATTCGTCCTCGGTTGGCACCGCGAACCCCATTTAATAACAACCCTGCAGGCGCCGTTTTCCATAGGCTACTGTAGGACTCATGGCGGGAATCACCGAGGATGGACCTCATGTGGTGACCGATGAGTGGGTTCTCGGCCAGGCCGGAATCTTGGACGTTGTGAATGACGACCAAGTGCCCGGACAGCCGATGTTTTCCGGTCCTGACTTTTTGTCGGACCACACTTTTTCAGAAGCAATGCCTTCGGGAAGGTCCAGTGCTACTCGCACTGATGACCTATCGTCTAATGCCTCAAGAGCTAATCGCTCTCAGGGTCATGGGGCTAATCGTCCTGACCATGATGATTCCGTCTCAGGACGTGATGATGACGAGCCCGGTATTGCACCTGGAGCTCAATCCTCATCTTTCCCGGAGCTGATGAATATTGGTCAGTCCGAGTTTCGTGACTCTCGAAGTAGCAGTAGACCTGTGCCAACCAGCAGTATAGTTTTTCAAGCGCTCGGTAATCCCGAACCTGGTACATCCAGTGGAGTTGCATTTGACGTTCATCTGCCGACCGAATCCGGTGGGCTCGATTGGAGAGCCTCATGGCCCAACGACGGAAACATTTTTGGTATGGATTTTGCCGCATGGATGCCAGGGCTACCCGCCCCGTCATCTTTCCCGCAATTCCAAAGCCCGAAACGGGCTGCTGGAAGCGACGAATTCATGCTACCTTTGTCGATTGAGAATCTCAATCCTGACGTGGCCAGCCGTAACGTCAGGCCAAGACCGTCGGTAAACCCGACCATGAGGAACATGTCCCCTCCCCCAGGACTTTCAGGATTTGAGAGCCCTAGGGAGCGTAATATCGTAGATAGATTGGATTTGCATCCCAGTCCAACTCCAAGCAAACGATCAAGGTCAAATTCGACTGGATCGCATAGGGCAAGGGGGATGGATCGGGAAACTGCCCACAGGGGTAACCCCAATACGCGGGACTCAGGACGCGGTCGATCAGGTGATCCAGCGTCGATCATTGGTAGAGACCCGTTAAACGCGGACACACTCGTTAACGTGCTTGATGGGATCGAAGCATTCCAGGAGGAATTTAATAGGTCAAGTGGCTTGAACGCGCAAGGTGTTCGCCCTACGCCCAACGCGGCTTCCATTTTCGCTCTGGACAACATGGACGGAGCTAATGTTCCGATAGAATCTGAGTCCATGATGGCATCAAGTTCTAGTCGCAATCATACCATCAGTAATGCGACTGATATTGAATCGATGTCTGAGTCTAGAGTGTCCAATGCGACCGACTTGAATGACATTGTTATTGCTGACTCGAGACCTGATGTTCCTATGCGAACGGATAGGCCTGTTGTTCCTAAACTGTCCGTGGCCAAAGGCCTGGGCATGACACAACCCTCTGCGGTTCGTGATGCTAGGAGATCTGCTCCGTATCAGAGTCAATCTCCTAATCGGAGTGAGTTCCCACGGCCATCAACGGCCGTGCAGGATGATTTCAGAACTCCTCCGAGATCTAATCCAATCATGGTTGATTTGTCCACTCCTCGAGATCGCGGATCAGGATTTGGTCCTGCGAGTGAGGAGCAACCCAACGAGGTTGCTGATCTTGTAACAGCCCTTGAAAGAGGGAGAGTGGACTCTTCGGTAAGTGCGATCATTCATCGCCTGGTTGCTAAGGTCGAAGACCTTGGGCGTAGGAATGATAGAAGTGATCAATGCATCAAGCAGCTCTCCACTGAGGTTAACTCGTGGAGGGCCAAATACGACCAATGCGTCCATGTGAGTAGCACGTGTACGCAGGCTGCGAACGCGGCCATGCAGCTGTCACAAGGGACTAAGGACATCGTGACCGAGCTTGGCCAACGCGTCAAGATCGTTTCCAATCGCATGATAAGCATAGGCGATGCCCTAAATGAGCGAGCCAGCTATGATGATGTTGCTCGCTCCATCACCCAGGTTCAAACTGTTTTTGAATCTCTTTCTGATCGAGTAACCGGGCTTATAGCTCGTGTTGATATGATCGAAAGATCTCTAGTGGAGAGTCAATCCAACCATCCTGCGATTGGTGGAGTAAACCTCAAAATCGAGGACCTGTCCACTAGGGTATGTCAGATTGATAGGATGATGCAAGATGTCGAACAATGCTGGACCAATAATAGGGACGGCATAAAGTGGGTTAAAGACCAACTTTATGAGACACAAGCCAACCTTGAGATAAAGTCAAGGGACTGCAAATCCTACACGGACAAGCAAAATACTCATAACATGGCCGTTTCGACTACGCTCAACAGTAAGCTCGAGCAAATGCTCGAGGTGCTGGGTAATACGGCCCAGAGAATTAACTCCCTCGAGCCAAGGCACTCGAACCAGGCCCCAAGTAGTGGATGGAACGATCGCACAGGAGGAAGGCGTGCCGCGTCCCGTACTCCGGATAAGCGGCCACCTCCACCTGGCCCTCCTGATGATGATCCTCCACCACCTCCTCCTCCAGATTGGCAAAGCCCAGGAGGAGGGGGGAAGAAGAGTGCCGCCGGTGGGAACCCTGGCGACCCTGGTAAACCCAGGTGTAAGTACGTAGGTGATGGATATAATCACCTCATGGCTGAGTTTCACTGCAAAGGATGCAGAGGTGATATTTGTGAGTATTGTTTCTCGTTTAAAGAGAACCTGTGTGAAGAATGTTCCCGTAACGGACCCCGATGCGGAGTCTGTAGGGAGAGCTCGTTCCTGACCAAGGGAATCGAGTGTCAGTTTTGTAGGACCTACCACTGCACCAGATATTCTGCTGGGCAGGATGACTACAGGCGATTTGGATTTGTCCAGGGTCCCTGTTGTCTTGCGTGCCTTAGGGACGAAACTAGGAGAAGAAGGGATCCCGATGGTAACCGTGTCAGGGATAGATCTCCTGGAGGCGCACCTGAGACGAACCCGACGCGGTCGTACTCGCCGCCTCTGCGACCACCCGTTGACAGATTCCGTGACACTCCCACTGGGGGGTAACCCAACGCGGCTGACCTTCAGAGTCCTCCGAAGGCTACGCAATCTGTGCCCCTGGATAAACGTGAAACCGGATATTATCCTGGATTTGATCCCAACGGTACAAGGCCGAAGGATCCTTCAGGCCTTGAGCCGCCGACCATGCGTGGCCCCGATCCTCCTGACAAGAACTGTCGGATGTGTGATCGGGATATTCCTGACCCCAGCAAAATTGGGGAATGTAAGATATGCATGAAAAGGGCATGTGAGATTTGCATTCCGAAGGCTACTCGCCTTTGTTGTGTGGTAAGGTTGTCGGAACTGGTGGCGGCGGATACAGTAGCCACCATGATCCGAACTGTACAGCTGCGACTAAGTGCATTCCCATAGACCTCCCGCCAGAGCCCGACGCGGCTGGGCTGAGGGTATGGATAGCCAATATGAAGGAAGCTGTTAGCAATGCCTACAGCTATGATGGACTTTACGTCATCAATTGGCTAACTGAAGTCGAGAAGGCAAAGACCTTTGATGAGCTGGACGGGGAATGTAAATACCACATCCTTGAAGCCAGGTTCAATGCAGCCATTCGGAAGTGCATCAAGACTGTTGCAATTATCGATAAGATTAATCGTCTCACCGAAGCCGCTCAACGCTCCAACAATCGCATCAAGAGTAGGCAGATCCTGTGGCTCTTATACGACCACCT